TTCCTTGAATGTTCTATGAATTAATTTTTTTACAGTGCAAACATTACATTTATTTTGAACACTAATTTTTTTCTTTTTCTATGTTTTCTTTTTTTTGCCATCGCACTACACAGATTGTCTGTATGTTAAAGTGTTTTTGAATACATTGAATATGTTTTGGTTAGACAGCGCAAACATTGTTTAAAATACTAACTAGTTTTTCAGCGCCTTTTTTTAGAAATGTTCGAATTTTTAACACATTTACATTTTCAATATATAAAACATATTTTATTGACATTGCAGGCATTTTGTTTCTAAACATTTCATCCATTTTCCTTACATGTTTGTATGCATCAATTTTTTTACAGTGCAAACATTACATTTATTTTGAACACTAATTTTTTCTTTTTCTATGTTTTTTTTTGCCATCACACTACACAGATTGTCTGTACGTTAAGGTATTTTTCAATACATTGAATATGTTTTGGTTAGTTGTCCTTGACTTCGCAAACATTTTTTTAAAATACAAACAATATTTTCAATGCCTTTTTCTTAACGTTGTCTTTACTGATTATATATTATAGCCCTAATACTTGTAATATATTAAGCATATTTTCTTGACATTACAAACATTTCTTTCTAAACATTGCATTCATTTTCAACACACTTTTATGAACTCTCTCTTTTTGTCTTCGCGCAGTGATATTAGTTAGTTAGTAAAAGAAACCGGAACGCTTGTCTCCAAAACTGTCAAAGCTGATACTATCAAAATTCAATACCTGTGGGTTTTTGAACATGAAAAATTCAAAAAATTCAAAGTTTACCCATACGAATAAAGTAAACCGTAAAGTCTCAGAATTTTTGAGGTTTTAAACTCAGGTTTGATGCAGTTTTCTTTACACTAATGGATTGATGTAGCTGATTTTGACAGGAATCTAATTTTTTTGCGAGAACTCAAAAATATGGTGTTTAAAAATGTATGACCTCATTTAGCCACCAATTTACGTGCATTATATTAATATTCACCTAAGCGTTGAACATACGTAAGGGTATATTTAGACCAGAAATATAGTGCTTTTACATCCGACCCCGTGATTTACTTTGCCGACTGTTTATTTCTCCTAAACCTCAGCCCCTTATAGAACACCATGCCGACCAGACCCTTAGCAGTAACCATTCCAGGACCGTCTTAGGAATTTATCTACCTACACTAACAAGCCGGATATAAGTATTTTTTCAATCTTTTACGTTCTATTTCGTTACATTTCTACAAAACGTTTCTATTTATTCGTAAATACCCCGCAGCATCAAATTGAAATGCAGAATAAACATCTGTTGGATCTGTTAAGGTACTGTAAAATACTTAAAACGTCAAAAAACGTCAAAACAATACATGCACTATAGTTTTGGTCGTATTATAACAATATTTGAAACACAAGGCAATACTCAAATAAGATGGACGTTTTAACATTAGATGCCTCTACTCCAACTTCTTAAACTTACTTTTCGAAATATTTTATTATTCCACCTTAATTGTACCGTGTTATATTCAGCATCTTTCCGACGGAAGCGCAAGTTTCACCCGCGTAGATACGAAGCCAAAAGTTACTTTAAGAAGTTAACCTTAAAACAACGAAACATACGTCGAACACATGCGAGGTTTCCCACAGTTTCCATCTTGAGCGAACCCGCATAGGATTTAAAAGTTAAATTGCTTCCGCTGACACGTACCTTACTTGTCCGATATTAATTACGCGTTGCTTTTTTGGCTCAAAATTTAATTGGAAAAAATTTTTTTTTTCGCTGTAAATAAAAATGAAATTAAATATTGACAAATGACAGTTGCGAATGGGATGCAGAATTATGCACTGATTAAAATAGGGGTAATTTAACATTATTTTTAAAAGATAAAAGTATCTGAAGATACATGCAAGTACATATTTACAAAATACATACGAAATCTCTATTTTTAAATCAGTTTTTTGTGAAAACGGTAAATGCCTATTTAAATTTTAACTTTCACTTGTGGAAGTGCAAATAAAATGTGGTTTTACATTAATCTATGTGTACGGTGAAGCTAGTCAATGAATATTATTAAAGAAGGAGTAGGGCCAATAAATAAGCAATGCACTTATGTTTCAATGCAAAATATCTTTTAAGATAATATTTTATTTTCATTCCCGCTTGCGTAAAGTTTTGGTAACAACAAGTTAAAAAGAAATTCGGATATCCTCTAAAGTATTTCTTTTAATAATACTTGAAAAAAAAACTAAAACCTCTGTAATGTTAAAATTACTCTCAATTGTTCATCACCATCGTAGTGTGCTTGAAACCTTTGAACATGAAAGGGCCGAAGATCATTTTCATGCAAAACTTGCCAATCTGTAGAGCAAGCAATTGTTTCCTGAGCAGCAAGTTTTCTCGTCCTCGTTGACAGATCAGCCTCCACATTTTCAAGTATTCTTTCTTCTCTTATAACGGTTCTTTTATACCATGGTCTCCCTTTATTCATATTATCAAGTTTGAACTATCTTTCTTGTGTGTATGTTGATGAATGTCTTAGCAGATGGAACGTTTCTATTGAGATAAGTCGTCATGTCATCTTGATATTCATTATTTGAGTATTCCTAATGTGCCATCACAGTATCAGTGGAATAATAAGCTCTTTTAATAGGAACTAATTTTTAACGGATTGTCACAATGACTTTTTCAAATTTCATTAAGTCCTGTTAGGTAAAATCGCATTTACGGATCAAATTCGAACCGAGAATACAAAATCGATAACACTTATCGACTTAAGGCAAGAGTAACAGTTTTTGAGGATTTGTACTTTGCGCTTAAGGCAATCTCTTCTATTTTGAAAAATCAGTGTAAATAAGTAAAATACGGGTAAAATAAAAAACACGTTCTAGGTAAAGTGCCCTCTAGTGACGGATTTCTGAAACAATGTTATTTTGTAACGATGACTTTTACCAAAACACGGCTGAACACCCTGTATAATGTGAATAAAGTGGGTAGATAAAATAGATGTGGTATGTTAAAATGATTTTTAGATCAGCGATAAAGTACGAAGATTTTCATACATATACATAGTGTAATTAAGCGTTTCCCGCAATGCAAACTTTAAAATGAGGAAGAAGCTTTGTTTACTATCCTTGCCTTGATAAATTTACGGGGAGTGGGCTCCAAAAAATCCAAAATTCATGTTAATACAATTTGCTCGCTTGTTTGCCCTTGGCTCGACGACACAGGAAACCTGTGTTTGACCGGCTCCGTCTTCGCGATCAATCGAAATTATTGTTAATTCAGGAGGCAATTAAGCAAGAAGCTGGCGAAATTAAATTGCTTCGGGCGAGGCCGCGAAAAGTAATCCCGCGTCTCTAGTTTAATCTAGTTAAACGCGAATATAGAGAATTTAGTTAATTTGCCGTCGAAAAGAAACGCTGCGTCTATTTCGTTGAGAAACGACGTCAGACTCGCGGGTATAGGAGCCCCGGAACTGCAGGCGGGTAATAAAACAGTGGATATTTAGACGACATACATGGTACGTCACATTATTTGAAGTAAAAAGGTACTATAAACAAGTGGTCTGATTGAGAAACTTGTATTTTTATATATACTGTAAAAAAATATCTTTATCGAAGATGACATTACTTTAGAAATTTCATTGGAAATACCAATATTTACAAGTTTTTTTTTTATCTTGGTAGAATAGAAAAACTTTTGCAAGTCCTGGTTTCGTAAATATCGCGGAATATATGTTATTGCCAAAGAAATGTAAAATAAATCGAGTATAACTAACGGACACATTCTGAGAATTTGATTGATAGAATATTTTACTATACATCCAATGTCCTATTTGATAACAATGAATAGAACAATTAATAAATAAAAAAAATAAATAGAAACACATAGACATATGAATACAATTGTGAAGAAAATGTAAAATAAATCAAGCATAACTAACAGACACATTCTGAGAATTTGATTTAGAGAATATTTTACTATACATACAAAAGACCTATTTGATAACAATGAATAGAACAATTAATAAATAACAAAATAAATAAATTTATTGACTGTTTTTGTACAAGGTGCATTATTGCAAGCCGAAACAATACAAATGCACATATAAAAACCTCCGGGTATGAATTTTCGTTCAGAAATCTTCATTATTTAGGAAATTATCTAAAAAAAAGCAAAAATAAAAATTTTGACTCTTTTTTTTTTTTAAGTTTTTAGTATATTTTTATCCTTACTCGCGAAATGACCCTGTAAATGCGCGTGAAATGATCCCAATTCTTCTTCTTTTTCTTAGCGTCTTTAGATCGGTTAGTAATTTTTTTTACGTCCCGTATAATTAACATAATAACGGAATTAGAAAAGTTTCCCTCGATTTGCGTGGGTTTCCCCCCGAGTTTTCGGAATTTTATACGAATTCACGTTAATTACGCCAATTCCACACGACTTCGAGAAAAATACCCCTAATAAACGCCTTTTAAATTTCCAAAAGTTGGACGAGGCAGAGGCCGAACTTTTTATTTTATTAAATATCGCGCAAACTAGGCACCGAGCGATTTATTTTATTATTCATCAAACTGCTGTTGTTGTGATAGGCATTTACACAAGTGGTAAGTGGGGTGAAGAGTGCGGCCTAAATACAAGGGCTACCTTTTATATTTCGGGATTTGTGATGAAAAAACTATAACTACCAAAAATATATATACCAAAAAATATGAATGATTATTGTCGACAGACCAAAAGTGTTTATTCCTTCGATTAAGAACACCTACTTGCTTTGTGTAAAGTTTGGTTAGGAAAGTAGGATAACATACGAAGTCAAGCTTCAACTGCGCCTTTTGCGATATTGTTATTGGTTTTAATTAAATAATACAAAGATTCAAGACCACGTGCGGAATAGTATTCAGTATACAAAAATTAAATATACGAATGTACACTTTTCTCTGTCCATAAGTTTAAACTTGCGAGAATGTGTGCTAAAACAGGTTCTTCATTTCCAGGCATGAGTCCTGTGCATTCCGAGGATGTAGTCAAAGACACGAGGGAAGGAGAGGACGTCACCCTGGAGTGTAGGTTTCCACCTCAGACCTCCAGAGATTCGCTGACTTACTTCTGGATTCGCCAAGTAAAACAGACTCACGACAACGTTGCTATCGGAGAACTGCCGCTTGAGGCGAACTACAGGTAAGTCAATCTTATTTATTTCTCGAAATTAGCAGTAAGCGACCTACGACGAGGCCGCAGATGGGAATGGAATGATAAAAAGAAGGCATAAATCATTTTTATGAAAATGTCTTTGTTTTAATACACCCATAGATGTTTACTCAAATGATCAGTGTGGCATATCAATAGAAACAAAAAAAACATCATTAAAATTATCATAATTATATTATACATCGATTATTATGTTTGAGTAATTCTAAAAGTCTTGTTGTAAAGATATTAATCAAACGTTTTATTTTAACATGACTTTCTATCCATCTAACTACCTGTCTGTATCTTTCAGGTTCTTTGAGTGACACGCAACATACATTAAATGTAATTAATAAACACGGAAACTCATAAACTATGCCAAGATCACTTTCATTTTTTTTTTTTTTTGGCAAATAATGGTACAATCTCAAATTCAAGGAAGTGCGGCTAATTCCTGTTACAAAGCATCAAAAAGTGAAAATAATATAAATCTAGATTAAATTTAGACAACAAAGAAAAAATTGATCAAAGGGGATTTGGATTTCTTTTTTTTTTCTAATAGTTGTTACCCACACTTTTTTGAAAAAATGATTATTAATTATCAAAGTCGATTTTTTAAAGATTAAATAAAATGAATTGAAAAAACTGTAAAAATCAAAAATATTTTTTGTAAACAGTTATTTTCAAATGAGAGGAAAGGCTGCATCCAACTTTTAATTTGTTACTCAGTTTACTCAGAATATCTTGCTGGATTACATTGTTCTCAATGGTTATTACCCAAGCATCTTAGAAAAATGATAGGAAAGACTGCATGAAATCTTACACTTTTTGATTTGTTACTGAATTTATTATAAAACACGCTTTCCTGAAGACGAAATAAAATAATTTTTTTTCAATAGCTGTTACTCAAAAATCTTTGAAAAATGATAGGAAAGGCTGCACCAAATCTTAGACTTTTTGATTTGTTACTCAATTTATTGTAATATATAATTTTTTTGGAAAAATCTTTTTTGAAGACTAAATAAAACGAAGTGAATAAATCTGTAAACATAACCAAGTTGAGTTACTTTCTTTTTTCAAGAGTTATTACTCAAACATTTTTGATCAAATAGTTTCCGGAAGATTTAAAACACTGGTGGTATTTTAACGTCGATTCTAATGGTTACATGACGCTCGTTTTGCAAAAATGTAGTTAAAAACTACGAAGTAGAGTTCTCCAAACGATATACCGTTATTGTACGGTAAGTTTTATGGTTTTGACTTCGGAGTGAGTTTAAGATCCGCCTGTTGTAGTTTAAGAGTACGATTTAAAAGTAAAAATGGATTTTTCACTGCATGTGCTAATAATATTCGAGATATCTCACCGATGAAACTACACAAATCTGTCAGCTTTCAATACACATTTGTATGTACGCAGTACCGCAGTACGGTTCTGGAACGTCATGGTGGAATTGGTAATTTATTTATTGTGGATTACAAAGAGAAACCTAAACGAGTTAGGCCAATTTACCAAAGTTAAATACCGGATTACGTCGTATAATCGGTATATCATTTTTAGAACTCTACTGCATACTTATAAGATATAACACCCCGTCTAAGGTGCTTCCCACAAATTTTTGCTCGTTAGTGTTTACCTTACACCTAGAGCTATAGCTATAAATATTCCGGATACCGCGTGAAGTCATAATTAGCGTCGGACTGGGTAATTATCGCCAAACGAGGGCAACTTTTATTAAACGATGTGATTACGCGAAAGAGCCTTTTCCCTTGGCGTTTCGGTGGGTTTACAGATTGTCGCGCCGAAAAAAAAAATGGCGTCAAATTTTCGGCTCGCTAATAAGGCGTAATAAAAAATGGGTTCGCTCGTAGCTGCGGATTAAGATTTCCGTTTGTCAAAATATTTTTCCGAGCAAACATTAACAAAAGGATGAAAAATGACATGAAGAAATCAAATGTTTTATATTTATATTAAACATCGTTTCAACAAATAACATCCATTAAAAAAAAAAACAAATTAAAACTGCTTAATTTCATTCATTTCAAAAATAGGGCAGTCAGTTTTTTTAATTCTTCGCTTTAACACAAAATTACACTACGCATCACAATTTTTCATCATGCTCGTATATATAATTTTTCTGTTTATTTTGATTAGCGATATTTAATTTTAGTAATATTTATTTTTATTATTATTGTTTAATTTTAATATTGCTGTCAATATTTAGTTTTTTTATTTTTGTGTCGAAATTACGAAGAAATAAATTTATTTCTTCAATTTTTGACATCAAGAACAAAATACTCAAATTACACCTCTATAACTATTTTTCATTTTGTCTTTTTGAAGAAATTAATTTTTTGATTTTTTACTTTGATAGTTATTTTTGTTCTGTGGATATTTTTTCAATTTTTGATTTTAACAACAAATTACAAAAACCACCCGTATCGCTGTCATCATCAATTTTTCTGTTTGTGCACGGTAACCTTATTTTATTTTAATTTTATTTCGTTTTGTTATTATTATTATTTAATTTTAATATTAATATTTTGTTTTTGTTATTTGTTTTCGTTCGCCTTATTTAATTTTAGTAATATTTATTATTATTAAAATTATTGTTTAATTTTAATATTGCTGTCAATATTTAATTTTCTTATTTTTGTATCGAAATTACGAAAAAATAACTTTATCTCTTCAATTTTTGGCTTTAAGAAATACCCAAATCACACCTCTATAACAATTTTTCAATTTGTCTTTTTAAATAAATTTATTTTCAGATCTTTTTTCCTTTTATAGTTATTTTTGTTCTGTGGAGAGTTATATTTTGTCAATTTTTGGTTTTAACAATTTCAAAAATCAAATTTTTCTGTTTGTGTGCGTTCACCTTATTCTATTTTAATTTTATTTCATTTTATTATTATTATTATATAATTTTAATATTAGTATAAATTCTATTATTATTTATGGAAATGCGAGAAAATATTTTTTTTTTATAATTTTTTACTTTAAGATACTAATCACACCTGAATCACAACTTTTTCATTTGTTAAAATGATGTCATTTTTTAAAAATCTAATTATAGTAAATTAATTAAGTAAATTTAATTTTCTTTGTTTATTTTTGCATAATTAACATTTTTTAGTTATTTTTGCGCTATTCATTTCAATTTATTTTTATATAGTTATCACATCTGCCTCACTGTTTTTATTTACTTTTTATTATTACTCTTCTGTCTGGTTATTTTAATTTATATATACAGCAATTGAATGTCCACAACTGAAACAAAAAACATAACATTAAAAAAATCAACTTTTTATTATATTTATTATACATTATCATTAATTTTTTGTTTATTTTCGTTCACCTTATTTAATTTTGATGTTGTGAATTATTATTTTATTGTAATAATAAATTTACTGTTATTTTCTCAAAAATACCAGAAAATAAAAGTATCATAATCTTTCATTTTATTATTATGAACTCATTTTTTATAAATTAATTTTAATTTAACTAACTTAATTAAGGAATATTATTTTTCTGTATTTAATGTTGTACATTAAGTGTTTTAGTTATTTTCCTCCTATTAGTTTCAGCTTAATTTTTCATTAATTTTTTATTTATTTATCTCAAAAACTAGGATTGACAGAAAAAATCTGGTGTTTTCTTTGGAATCAGCACAATTTTTGCTTTTAACTATGTGATAATTTTGTTGACGTGTAAACTTTGTCGAGTATCCAAAAAAAAAAAAAAAGACAGAACGTACAAAGTCCATCTCGATCGAAAACGACTGTTCAATTTAATGGGACGGAGTGTGCCTCTGGCAAAAAAAATAATTATCAAGAGAGCCTCTTCGGACTCTCTACGGTGCTTTTGACTGAGATTTTCCGCGTTGAGAGCGAAGCCGGGTCCGTGTCCCTACATATAATGAGCAGAATGAATACAAAGGTAGAGTCGGTTCGCTAGGTAGAGGGAAAAATAACTTTTTACTGAGGGAGACTATCGAACGCCCGGATAAAAACGATTAGCCGGGAGCTTTGAATGGGGATAATTACTCGTCGGACATTTTGACGCTCAAAGTTGACAATTCTTTTCGATTTTTTTCAGACTCCGCTGATTTACGTCAAAAATTTAACCAATGGTTCTTTTTTTTTTAAAGAGAAATAATAATCATTTGGACAACACAAACCAATTTGGTTCTCCAAACGATGTTACACACCGTTTACATTTTATCAGTGACACGTGTGTGGTCAATAAACAGTCGAGCTGCAAAATAATTGCTTGGTCAGAAAGATTTCACAATTGGTCAGTAGAAAATATGTCTATAAACAATTTTGGTGAGTCTAAAAAAAAATGTAGTTATGGTCTGTTCATAGATATAAGAAAGTGTACGGATTATCCAAGGGTGGTCATCTTGTTGCATTGTATGTTAATGACCACCCCCGGTTTTTCATCCAAATGTCTATTGTTTATGTATGGCCTTGTATTGTCCAACGAAAAATCGATTTTTTATAGGATACACCCTGTATAATAGTAATACATTTATTCTGCAATGTTCAATTTACAATACAATAAAATGCCATTAAACCACATAAATTGCAAAAAAAAAGAAAAGAAATAAAATAAAAGAGATGAAAGCAATTAAAACTGTTCCAAGTTCAACCCCTATAAAACTATTTTAAAATAATTAGTTCACATGAGATAACTATAGCACGTGTACATAAAAATTAAAAATTGGATAGAAAGAAAAGTTTAGGACTGAACTTACTCGAAAATCGCTTGCAATTTGCTTGTTGGCTGAACATTTGTGTGATTTTTTTTTTTGAAGTTTGTAAACGTTATAGGAGAAGCTTCTTTGAAAAAGAGACGTCCGGTGTGGTGAGAACTTAAAATTACCTTCCCCAAAATATAGCACACCAGACATGGAGAGGGGACAACCTAATTTTACCCCCCGACCAAAAAGGGGAGGTCGCCTAACTTGCTTAACTTTAATCATTCGGCTAATAAATTAAATTAGGCACCGACTGGGGCAATTTTAATTGGCTCGTCCCAGGTCGCGTTATCAGAGACGAGGTGTTTGGAAATTGTATAATTTGACGTGACGGAGGACGGACACACGAGGGGACGCCATGTTTATACGTACAATATATACGAGCAGACCTGGGTCGACGCGCTGTCTCATATCGCTTGCACCCCCTCAATTTCCGACGTACGTCCGGAATCCAAAAGTTTCTCGAAGATTAAGATGGTTTTCCATATCCCCCCCACGGCTTCTTAAAGTTAATTATGTATTGGATGTAATTATCTAGATTGAAAAGCAACACCAGATTCGGAAACGTGGGGAGGCTTGAAACACATCGATAAGAAACTTTTTTTGATCACCTTCTGTTAACGGACTATTCATCATGTTTTCCCTAATCACGTCCATCCATATTCTAGCTATTTTTCCCCTTCTTCTTCTTCTGTGTGATGACTCATATTCCATCCCTATCTTTGGTCTTCCTTCGGTGATGGTGGAATTTTCTTCTAAAGATGCTTGCTTGCTGGCACCACATTCAATGAGAGTCAAATAAACATTGTGTATAACTTCCTTAGTCTCAATAGAACAGTGTTTTCTACATTTGGACGAGTGCATCTCCTGAGATACACTAGACTGGCACATATTTTGCATAATTCGCACACGATTCAAAACACGCTGTATTACACACGAAATAAGAATGATTACTAATAAAGTTAAACTAAGTAGTATACCAAACCAAAGAATATTAAACACAGGTTGGGATAAAATTATTTTCTATTACGGGCCACAATTTTACCTGAATTTAAATTCCGAAACTTGTTGCATTGTATGTTAATGACCACCCTTGGATAATCCCATTCAAAAGGTCACTTTCTTATATCTATGAACAGACCGTACGTGTTTACCATAGCAACTATTAACATTTAGGCGTCACTTCTCACCCCACTCTCCCCTTGCTCAATTGCCTATATCTGCGCCACAATAACAGCAATTTCGCGAATGTTTTACAAGTTTTTTTGTCTATCGGCTCCCAATTGTAAATTCGATGGGGTCCGGTTAGCGTTTCAATATCCCAAACAGTGGATTTTTATTAAAAGTCCGTTCAACATGGCCGTCACGTCTGTCCGATCCATTGTGCAAGCTAAATACGTGACGACCATAACACTCGGCAGGAAACAAAAACCGATAATATGCTAACAACGTCCTCTGGTGTTGTTCTTGGAATACACTGGACCATTTATATATGAGAAAATTCTAAGCTATGCCCGTAGAATAACTACGTACGGGTTGTTGCCGCGTTACATAAAACATGGCCTACGTGAGGATGTCTGCGCGCGTCCACCTTTTCTTCTTCTTTTTTTTTAAGTACGTGTACGTCGATAATTCATTTCGTGGGATACCGGTCCGTCTAGTGACGGGGAAGCGTTGCCAGTACGCCTTGGGTCTTCTTTAACACTGTATTATGGCGTAGTGGTTTGATGAACCGGCACTGCCGCAAAAATTGCTTTTTACAGTCTAAAAGGGAGTTAGTGATTATAATTTGAAAATTTTTAATGATATACGAGGTTCGAGTGATAAGTTTCCTGACCATAAAAAACGATGTTTTCAATATTTTTTTTGCTTTATTTTTCAACATAATCTCCATCAACCCTGATACATTTCGTATAATTTTGGTATACCAATTTTAGGCTCCTCAAAATATTGATGTACAGCTACCGTCAAGTCATTTTTTGAGGTTAAGGAACAGGTAATAGTCAGTCGCTGGGGGTTAAGTCTGGAGACTAGCGAGGTTGCGGCATCAATTCAAACTTCAAATGAGCCGTTTTATTTGCAGCCATGCTTCGAGCGTTGCAATAACTCTACAAAGTATTCCACCAGTGATAGTCTTACCCTTTCCAAGGTAACCAATGTATACAATTCCTCTGACATCCCAAAAAACAGTAGCCGTAACCTTATTTGCCGATAAAGTTGTTTTAGCCTTCTGTGGAGTTGGTTTCCTTTTCGCAATCAACTGTTTTGACTCTTCCTTATGTTCCGGAGTTTGGTAGTGGACCCAAATCTCATCAACAGTTTTGCACACAGTTTTTCCATGCTCAAATGGTTGTCCAAAATATTTCGCACACGTTCAGCTGACATCCTCCAGGTGTCGGCTATCTCATGCACTTTCAACCTACGGTCTTTCATAACTATTTAAAGAGTTTTCCCAATCATTTTCAATGCGCCTTCTTGAGCGAGGTTCGTCAGAGGTGCTCGCACGAACCATTTTTAACTTAGAAACCCACTGCTTAATAGCTGAATATGACGAGGATCAGTCTCCTAGTCTTGAGTCTATATCTTCTTTAATTTGTTTTGGTTAGTTTCAAATGGAAGTATTTTATAGCAGCAATTTTTGTCCATTTTGCGCAAAGTAAAGCTGGTGGCGCCATCTGTTAGTGAGGCCTAACACTTTTCAACCCAGTGCAAAAGGAATTGCTTCAATTGTAAGATTTTTAGTCGCACTTCCGGACAAAATTAATAGCCTGAGTCCGTAAAACTTCCAGCAAACCAATTGATCAATGTTTCTGCAGCATAGAAGAATATTTAAGATCCGATTTTAAGCTAATATCACTTTTAGTTACTCACTAATATAAAACAAGCAGATACTCTACTCTATCTTGCTATACGACTGAGTAGATATATAACAAAAAAAAGCTAGCCAGTCAAATTCGAACAATACCCAGTTCAATTCCGAATCTCATAGTAAGGAGGGGCACCAGATAGCTGTGATCTCTGACAGAGCCTTAATGATCCAACTTGCTCCCAAGGACTTCACGTCACTTTGATCTATGTGAAAACGAATTTTGTACTCTAACATTTGAAAAATGTAGACAAACATCGGCTCTGTAGTCACTCTACAAGTGATAATTTCTACATTTCTACATTTTACACAAAAAATATATACGGGGACCGGTCAACATATACCGGAATACGTGGTTACTACAGGGTACTATCAAAAACGATTCGGCGTGGGGTGAAAGGGAGATGTCAGTTATATGTTCATTAAGTCTTAGGGAGGTTGAGTGAGATTACAAATACAACGACGACACTCATTTGACCCCTTTCTTCCAGACTAAACTACCACGTGGACCAAGGCATATACGACCTGCTCATAACCAACGCATCCTACGATCGCGACGATGGACGGTTCGAGTGCAAAGTGAAAGCTGGCGGTTCGGGCCAGAACCTCCACGTGCAGCGTTACGCTCTGACGGTGCTAGCGCCGCCGAGAGCTCCCCATATAGCACCCGGTGCCCGGGTGGTCGTTACGGAAGGCAAAAGGCAGGAGTTGACATGCAGCAGCGTCGGCGGTTCGCCCGATCCACAGGTCAAGTGGTACAGAGACGGTAAGTCTGGGTGATTTTTTTGATAACATTCGGCCGTGCTGTGTCGATTAGTGACATTTTTACCTGGTTGTGGAGTCCGTGACACGCTGGGTTCACGTTGACTGTCCTGTTATGAATGTTAGAAACCTTGGAAGCTACCATAAGATTCCAAACCCAATTGGAAATTCCAACCACAGGTCATTTTAGCAAATGTTGTGGATTCCTGCTGCGTAGATTGTTTCGCCAATAATTCTGGTAACTTGTAAAAGATATAAGAGTTACCTGTTCAGTGTGTAATGCCAAGGTCCATAAATATGCTTTTTTTTGTTTTACATGTAATTTTCTTTTTCTCCTATACAGATGTTCTTGAAAGAATAGTATTGTAACTCCCAGTTTCCGTCAGTGTATATAGTTGTTTTTTTTGTTTAATCTTAAGTCACGTTATACCTCTATCTCTTCTCTTAGAATTTTAAAAAAACGTTGTGCAATAATCCGACGATTTAGGGTTCAGTAGAGTAGCCCGTTCAGCTAGACTGCGCCCTGATTTTTATTATTAAAACTCCCTGTGACATCGCGAATTATATCTTCTCTTATGTAAGTTATAGGTTATGTGTTATAGTGCATCGTGCGTCACAATCGACTTGGTCGATTGTTGCAGTTTTCTAAACCTTCCAGTAAACACTTCTGTCAAATAAAAAAAATACGTTTTTCTGAAATAGTTTTATGAAATATTAAATATTTTTTCGCTGGTCTTAGAATAAGTAATGCGACCTATAAAAGAAGTTTCAGTTAAATATGGGCTGACGTCAGTCGAATTGCGAAAATTTATTGCCGTAAAAGCTATAAAACGAGTCCATGCACCAACGTTTGACCATTCCGCATGCCGACTTTAAATATTCAATCATATTTATGGCTTTTGTTACTTAATAGATGGGGTCGTCCTCCGACGGCGACCATAAATTTATATCCCGTGATGGGTCACTCCCCGACTGACCTAACCTAAAATAAAACACCGAACTAAAAACTTTTCATTTCACACCTTTCCCAAGAAAAATATGTATTCTTCTACAAGAAAATAGAATAAAATCGACAGAAACTTAACGCATGAGATAGAAAGGCTTCCAAAGATGTCACGACAACTCTCTTGATTAATACGATGTGGAATCATCATCCCACAGTAGCATGATGTGGAAAGAAAAGTTTTGGCTAGTGACATTCACCTCTGCATTTCTTATAGTTATGGCAAATATATATAAAGTTATAGAGTGTCCTGTCTCGATCCTTGGAACAAGAAAGTTTTATTTTATTTTATTTTAACAATCCCGACGTTTATTTACGTCTCTCAGCATTACTGCGAAACCTTTCACATGATTGGGTATCCCGTTTTCTGGATACATGCCATCAAGACTTGTGTGAATATTATACCACCATTACTACAGAGGAGTACTCTGGGTTAGAACGAAAACGAGTGCCAAAGGAACAGACGATGTTGACGTTAAAATTTTGAAATTCGTCCATGAATTATTAAAGTGCTTAACTACAAAATACATCCCGTAATGTATGGAAAGCTGTTCTACTTAAAAAGTCTCTATCGAACTAGTTTTCAGACTATCAGCATTCTTCCAACACTGTCAAAGGTTATTTGTTATCATTTAACAATTTGCTTCTCCCTTGACTAAAGCGATACTACTTTCACATTTTGCATACTTGTAAAGTAATATTGATTTTCTAGTTGTTTGTTAGCGTTTGTCGGACTTAGAGAAGCCATCATGGTGATTTAGACTACTAGAAAAGGAAAAATGATATAATTCGTCCTCATTACCACCGAACTCGAACTTAGTTCAAGGTTTATTATCAATTTTCGTCTCAGTCTTTTCTTAATTTCAAATAATACTCTCGCGTATTATATCCCACTTCCGAAAACCGCACCTACGTGTTTAAACATCCACGTTTCCATTTCCCACTCGAAATTAATTATAAGAAAACACCTATTCGCCGTTTATCGCTATCTCCCTCCGCCGCCACGGTATATGTCGCTTCAATTTCGTCGACCAAGACGTCTGCAAACAAACGAAAAACACACATGTTCCCCATTAACTTACCTCTCTGCTTCCATAAACAGTCGCGCGATTGCGCGACTGTCTGCGGGAACCTACAGCCGCGTGGCCCTTAAAAGCTGCATAAATGCAAGACGGGTTGCGAATGGGGTCGGGGAGGGGGATTCGTACTTACCCCCGCCACCACCGATGTAAAATGTGTGCGGAAGGCGTTTTGGCAATCCCGGGAAAGAGAGCGTTTTAAATCGGGCGCCAAATTGGTTGTATATTTCGTCCGACTAGGGTGTTTAGCACCCTTTCTAGAAACTTTATTGTAGGGGAAGGAAGAAAACATTAAGTACAAAAGTTTTAGGGTAAAGTCTGTTCATAGATATAAGAAAGTAACTAACTGATACGAATTAAGAAGAGACCCGGGCAAGCTGTAAGAATGAAATGTAGCCGAACAGCTTGAACCTTCAATAGGTCTGTGATAATTATGCAAAAAATCTAGCGCATACAGTTTTAACTGTATATTTAACAATGTTTTTCCCCGTGTTAACTCCATTGTCCTCAAACTTATAGAAACCGAAGTTTTTAACATCCCTCCACAAAGTTGGGCAAATTCTGTTAAATATAGAAAAAGCGGAACAATCGTATATCCATATTGCAAATAATATAGAACAAATAATAATTAGAACAGGCGATGATAGCGATAGTGATACTGATATATTATGTGAATAATTTTAAGTAATTTAAGTAGGTAGTAAAAATAATTTGTAATTTTATTTTAGATTTAAACATAAATAAATATTGTTTAGTATCTTTCATAACAAAACCCCAAATAATTAAATCCTAAGCATAATACGGACCTGTTCGGCCATATTTCATTCTTACAGCTTGGCCGGGTCTTTCCTTAATTCGTATCGTATCAGACTTTAAGATATTGTTGTCTCGAAGTATATCTTTCTATATCTATATTACACGACAGACGATATACTTTGGGATACACCATACCATACGCGCGTAAAAGCCGTCCATAAAACGGGTGCGGGACTGCGGCGGATTATCGAAGCGAGAATTTTCTCGCGACCTCTTTAAAGATGTCGGGTTTTCGACACCGCCCCGCGTCTTACTCGAAAGCAGGCCCAACAACCCGAAAAACAACCCCTAATTCCGTAACCGAAATCCTCTTACGGGAAGCGGGAAGGGGACAGTTGTGTCGGGCTTTTTAAAAGATTTCGCTTTCCTCGGGAGTCATCCCCGCTCCCCCCCCAACTTTCGGATTTGCCTAATTTGTAGGATCAAGTCGTTCAACTTTGTCTTGGCAGATGTTTTTGCATTTTAACCAAAACTAACCAAAATGTCGTATATTCTGCATCGGCGTGTCACGTGGGTGATTTTTTTGTCTACAATGTCACACATGTTGAATGAACCAAGTTACCAAAATGTCGGAAGTAGTTATGGTGTCGTTCGCTCCAGGTGGGTACATTTGAACTACTCCTCATATCTGACATATGTTTGCATATACAGTGTACGGCTAAAACATGGAACAAATTCATTTAAACATTAAATGCTCTGCGGATTTTTTACAGGAAATATACAGGGTGGGTCGAAAAGTAGATCTCGATACCCAGTTCCTTTTTTTATAATGGACCTGATTTTTAAATGAATGTGTTCCATATTTTAGGCGTCGTATATCCTATTATACTTCCATATATCTCCATATACAGGTCTGTTCGAAACAGAAAAAAATAAATAAACTAAACTAAAAAAAGTTTTCTAGGTTTTACAATTTAAAAACAAATTTATTGTTTAAATAAACTTGTGTGCCGATTTTTTATTGCAATTTCGTTAATAAATTTAGATCCTAAATAAAAGCGGTATCTTGAATTTTTTCGCTCAAAGGAAAAGTTTTCGAGAAAAAAAAGTAATAAATTAATTATAATAATAATCAATTTTATTATTGTATACCTACCAAGTTTGAATGCAAAATATTTTATGTTCGAAATGAAGCGTTTTTTAAAGTTTATATTAACTTTTTTACTTGTTTTACTCTGTTGAAAGTTTTTCCATTTTAAATCTGTATCTGTAAATAATTTATGAACAAATCAATATCATATTTTGATTAGATGAATTGTAGAAACGAGTTGATTTATTACGAGGTGATTTCTTGGGCATTTTAAACTTGTGTAGGTGAATTTTACATCACAAACGCAAAAATAATTTATAATAAAATATATATATAATTATTAAATAAAGATACACTCTACAATTTCAAGATGTTATTTAAAATATGTTGATCGAATTTGACTAGTCAATTGACAGCCAAATGCACCCAAACACTAGGAGGATAAACATTTTTGATTTAAAATGTTTTAATAGTATTCGCCCTCTCGCGTGACGCCCCCCAACCACCCGCGGAAGTCCGGTATGAAAAAAAAACAACGCATACAACCCATCCGGAATAATTCGCGTGCGCCGCCGGGGTGGAAGTTGGGGGAGGAGGGGGGTAAAAAAAATTTAATAATGCAACTTTAATGCGGTTTGTTTAAAAACGCCAAAAAGTCCAATCTATATGTAAATCTACGGCAAATATTTACATTCATAACGAATTATTTCCGTGCCGTAGCGGCCCGCGAGAGTGGAACGACGATGATTTTTCCGAACGGTTTTCGAACCCCCCCCCCCCCCACGCCGCACCCGCCGCGATTCGCTTTTTGTCCTTTTTTTTGACGGATTCGTTTTTTATACGATGTTTTTATGGAAAACGGCCGAACGCACTCCGGGGGAAATGTACACATTTAAAATTCCTTCCTCAGTGTATTTGTGCATTTTTATTTGACAGGCGGTCGTTCCCCGTAACGTTTTTAGGGGCCACTTAACGCCGGGTGCCACCTAAGTTTAGGTCAAGGGGGACTTTCGTTTGCTGAAATAATAGTCTTCCCTAAGTCTCCTAGTTGGTATTTGCATTTACCGCACCTAACTAAATCTGTCCTCGAAATTGTGGGAAGAAATGGTTTTTTGTTTGCCAGTATGGTTTGTCCCAAAGTATATCGTCTTGCCTTGTGACCATAATTATCTTGTGGATAATGTAGGGTAGAACACCAGATACCCTAAAATGCATACGAAGTATGCATTTTTTGGCAGACTTCCTCGAATTACTTACCTCCACTTTAATGAAATGGAAAATTTCACTTTTCACAATTTCAATTTCTTTTCTTCTTCTGCTGCGACTTCTTCTACTGCGGAGATGAAAGCAAAGTTCGACCCCTATAAAATTATATATATATATATATATATATATATATATATATATATATATATATATATATATATATATATATATATATATATATATATATATATATATATATATATATATATATATATATATATATATATATATATATATATATATATATAATATTAGTTCGCATGAGATAACTATAGCAGAAAAAGAAGATGTGTACGTGTATATAAAAATTAAAAATTGAATAGAAAATTTTAGGACTGAACAACTTACTCGAAAATCACTTGCAATTTGCTTGTTGGCTGAACATTTTTTTAAAGATTAATGGTGATAAGCTTCTTTGAAAAAGAGACGTCCTCTGTGGTGGTGGAGAGATAAGACCCCTAAATCTAAGGTTCAATCTGTGAAGATTGAACCACTTAGCATCCTGTAGTTTGTGGGTGTGGATCATATTTTCTTATACCATAAATTATCCGCAAACAGTTTCTATTTTCTCAATTCTATATGTCAATTTTGTCTAAGCATGAGCCATATAAAATGTCAAATAGTTAAAGTAACAACACTAGAGAATCCGTTAATTTAATCTTTTGAGCCTCAGACAATAAACGGCGATGCAGATAAAGCAACTTTAAGGAGACGTATCCCTTTTGTAAATAATAGCCAACTTGCTCGCTAAAGCGAAAATCATTCAGTCAACCATGTTTCTGAAATTCCCAGAATATCATAGTTTTCATTTATTAGAAGTAACTTAATTTCAGCAAAGTGCAAAATGCAATATGCAGTGACTTCATTCCTATTGGTGAATTTTGTATTTTCAATTATAAAAGAAGTTTGCACCCTTAAACCTAAAACGAAGAAAAATATAGAGAGAAAACAAAAATGAGCGTTGTAATTATTTGCTTATATGAAATAAACGAATTTAGAAAAAAAAACATCGAGTATTTTATTAAAGGATTAAGCAATTAAGTTGCAATCTCCTTAGCTGTTTTTGTGTGCTTCTTTTAGTGTCAAAGTGTACTTCGTATTATAATTTCCCCAATCCTTTCTCTTATATCGAGTATTTGTCTGGAATTATTTAAAGACCAATATCGCGCATTTTATCTATTACAACCCTTGTCACTCGAATACCTGGGATGCAAAATTACAAGCTCTGGATTCCTGGAAGAAGAAGTAAGGAAACAAGCCAATAAAGCTGCCGCAATATCGGGACATCTTAAATATTCGCGGAAACCAGAGCTGAAACATCAGTAACAAAGAGAATCCTACGAACTACTGAAATGAAGACCTTAAGAATGATAACTGGATACACATTGAAGGACAGACAAAGAAATGTAGACATAAGTGAAAAGTGCCAAACAATTGACGTTGTCAGGTGGATAAGGCAGAGAAGAAGAGAGTGTAACCAGCATGTCAGTAGAATGGGCCCCGACAAAATGGCCATAATAATTCGCAACAACGACCACCTAAACGTTGGCGAGATAGTTGGCAGTCAACAACCTCGCAAGAGTTGCTTAGACGAGGAGGAAACCGGAACTAAACAGGCGATACGTCTTCTAAAAGAGGAAGAAGACAACCCTTTTTTGTAGCGAACGAACTTTCATCGGTCCATAAAATGTTTTTTCAAAAAATTGATATTCTCATTATGTCTATTTCAACAATCCAAACAAAACTGCATCTGCCTTTGACCTTGTTCAGCATTTAGTTTTTGAGTTTCTTTCAAAACTAAGTGGATTGGTCCCCGAGAAATACCTATCTCTTCATGCGGTCTAGTAATAGAGGAAACTGGACGTGCTTCACAGAATCCTTATTTTCTTCATTTAAAATATTATAATTCCGGGATACCTTTTTAGCATTTAATACGTTACCCTTTTCTGCAAATGTCTTTCCATTGCTTGAAAATATCTGTTTTCACTTTTATTACGTTGTTCACTAACACGTCAAACATAAACATATTTTTATTTGTCAGTCAGGGCACCCTTCGAAATTATATAAAAATATCCTAGATTTGTCGATTTCTCAATAACGAGTCGACTAAAATATAAAGTCTGTAATCGGAATAAGATTAATTATTGACATTCAATTAGAAAACACCCTGTACATGAAAAATAGTACCTTACCACGCTTGAAATAATTTTCTACTAAGTAGGCTTTGATTTTGTGGTTCGATCGACATGTCACTTCTTGAAACCTCAATATTTCAAATTGTCTTTTTTTCTATTTCGAGTACCCGTTTCGGTCGGGAAACACAATCGAACGACACCCGAAGGGAAATACTTTTCCTCGCCCGTAAAAAAATTATTAGACGAAATTCCCACGATTGAAATATATTTTTAATAGTCCCGACGATTTGACACATAATTTTCACGTCTTACTCTGTCCTGGGCCGCTCACGTCGTGCAACTTTTTCAGGTTCCGTTCCCATGCCTCGTTTTCCACGGATAATGGAAATAAGTATGGCATGGGAATCATGTCGTTGTTCGTAATATTCGTATTAGGTGAATACACTCGCGACTGCATCCGTTTTTGAGATAATTATGGCGTTGTTAAATATCAATTCCCTTTCTCGAGCCTTCGGTGGCGCCATTTTCGAGTAAGATCTTCGAAAGGGCACGTTTGAGGCCGTTTTGTGTTGCATCAACAAATTAGTTATCCAAACTAGCCGAAATTTTGTTTTATTTTTTAAAATTTAAGCAATACACCGAATGCACCGCAAATAAAACCAGCGGTGCATTCACGCACCAGTAAATATTTTCAAAAAAATGGCAATACAAATCCAAAATATTTTTTTTTACTATTTTGGATTTACTTGAAAATATGATACAAAATTTATTTGCCTCTTTTGTTAACTTTTGTCATATATAAGATTTTTACTTTTCTACGATTTTATGACCTTTAGTAGTGATAATAATTTAATTTCTAAATTGATGTGCAAAAATATTTCCTGGATGTGACAAAAAAAAATCATTAAATAAAATTTAACGCACGCACGCTTTAACGCACGACTGGGACAAAATGGGTTAATACGGTACTCACCGTAAATCACCCCGTATATTAGATATACTTTTCTTTGTAGTATATATATATATATATATATATATATATATATATATATATATATATATATATATATATATATATATATATATATATATATATATGTCATTTTTGCAGGCTCGCTTTACCCGTTGGAGGCGGCTTTGAAAAACGGAGGTTCCCGAGATCAGCCGACCACGGCCACGCTGACTGTCACGCCGGCGAAAGAAGACGACGAGGCCATCTATCGGTGCGAGGTGTGGAACAGGGCATTGCCGGAGAACAAGAAGCTCAGCGCGACAGTTTCCTTGAGCGTGCAATGTAAGTCGCACATTTTATATTTTGCTGCGCGAACAATCGACTTACTTTATCTATTACTTAAAGCGTCCTTACTACGTGCTTAGAGCTACCGATTACTAAAGTTTAAAACGTACTAGACGGTGTTGTCAGTACGATAAGTTTCGAAAATGAATTTTAAAAAATTGAATTTGCTCTTATTTGCTTTGTACTTGACCTGTCACCTTTTAAATATTTTCTATTCGATTAGTTGCTTTCTTATTTATTCTGCTATACTTGGACCAGAAATATAGTGGTTTTACAACCGACCCAGCGATTAACTTTGCCCACTGTTTATTTATTACGTTCATTACGTACGTTATTGCGTTCTATTTCATTACATTTCTTCATGGTACCATTATTAATATACAAAATATTCAATATAATAATAATAAAGTATCCATCAAAATAAATAAGAACTAAAAGTTTAGATTTTCACGAAATTATATATTTTCACAAGACAATGTTGTCACATTTGATAAAGGCACGGTGTTGTGGAAATATATAATTTCGTAAAAAAACTTTTAGTTGTTATTTCATTTGCTAAATGGATTTTCATCAAATAAAAGCCACCTCAGTTCAAGTATCCAGTTTCAATCGGGTTAAATATACAATGATTCGATTTTGTAGCATTTATTAAAATATTTATTAACGATTTATTTATTTTATTTTTGGCAGACAATAAAACAGCATGAACAATTATTATATCATTTTTTTGCTGTGTCGTGAGTGGCTTATTTGACAATTTTTTAATTGCATTTAAGTAAACCGCCCTCCATTGCGAAATTCTTTGAGATTCCATTAGCGCTTGACTCTTATTAATTGTTTGGAACTGAAAATCCAAATCCAATTTCTTGTTACGGTCTATCTCAGGCAAAACCTACTCAATGCAGAATAAACATCTGTTGGGATGGGTTTTACCACGATCCTGCCGTTAAGGTACTGTAAAATACTTAAAACTTCAAGACAATGAATGCACTATATTTTTGGTCGTATTATAAACATCTAAGACATTAATAGCGGGCTGAACGCAAGCGAGTCCGCCATTTTTATAGGGCGACAATATGATAGTTTCCGCCAATAGTGCGTCCTCTTGTTAGCAGCTCATAATTGTATTCATTTACTACAATGGTTGCCTTGTTATGGGCGCCCTCAAGGAGAAAGTAAAGCAGAATCAGTTGTGAGGTTAGGATAACACTTTTCATGTCAAGAGGTGCAAAAAATCCCTAATAATCCCTATTGAGCGTTGGTACGTTCCCCATTGCGTAGAAAATTATGTTAATTAAGGAGGTAGGAAATCATTATAATGCAAAAATTATGTTTACCAGCGAGCTTGTGAGACTGAGGGTCAACTGAGAAGACTAGTTCTTAAAGCCTTTCAAAACATGACAACCGATATGTTAAAAAATGTTGTAAATTCGACAGTTACAAGGTGTTAATCTCGAATTGGGCACTTGTTTCAACATTCTTTATAATTTTTTTTTCATTATGTCAGCGCCCACTACACCAAAACATTAAAAATTTGATAAAAGCCCTTTTTTGGGTTATAAACAATGTAGAATATTATCAAGAATGAAAATTAGAAGTCGATGTAGGGCTCAACAAGGGTCCACTATTTTTTTATATTTTTATATCTTAAATAACACGAGAAAAAAATTTGTTTTTTCTTTTATCTTGGACACACCGTGTATTTAACTCACTTCATGAGAACACAGTTTTTTACGAGTGCTTAATGATATCAGAAAATAGAAAAACTGTTAAATATCGGACATCGGAAATTCTCTAGACACTTAGGTGTAATGCTGGTTGTATAAAAATATATTGCTATTAAATGACATTTCTGTCTCCTTCCTCTCGCATGTAGGTGTCATGCTGGTTGTATAAAAACATATTGCTATTAAATAATGACATTTTTGTCTCCTTCCTCTCGCATGTCCCTAAATTTCAAGCATTAGAGCTACCAAAATTATATTTTTCAGATATGGACCAATTAGCAATGATGTTCTTTGATTTAAGAACGTTTTTAACCAATTTTACTAAAAATCAATACACAAAAAATTATAAGATTTGCAATACATTTTTTGGAATTCACTTTTTTTCGAAACTTGCGCTTCTATAAAGAATCTAAAAATACACAAACATTTCGGAAAAGTATAACTTTTTTGGGTAGCATATATCGTCGTAAAACTTTAGAATGTTAATTTTTATTTACTGTTCGAAAAATCGTTTTAACATTCCCGACGAAGAAAATTCGAAGTTTCCTCTTTTTTTTATTCTCGACTTCGACTTGCTAATTGAGGCAAACACAAGGAAAAGACCTCCTACGTAAACTTTCGTTACAGGGACACCGGAGTTTTCCAATTTTCGTAATTATCCACTCTTTTAGCTTTTTAACAAGATTAACGATGTTTACCGTCGAAAGGAGGACGTCAAATTTGCCCGTTGACTGGCCGAAGAAAAAAACCAACCGACTGATAATTTTTTCAGGAAATTTTTGAATATTCTCGGTCTTTTACGGCCACATTCTACTTGAATGCCACTAAAACAGTAAAATATGTAAGAACGAACTATTTTCAAAGGTTTTACCATGCCCTAATACTTCTTCTTCTGCTTGCAACGCCATGTTTGTCTTCAGACGTCAACCTTCATCATGATGACGATGGTTTAAAACCTCTCACATAAATTTGGTGCCTTTTAATTAATATGTCCTAAGTAGAATGGCTTCCTGACTTCTGTGTTGTTTATGAGAGTCCGGCTAGTTTTCATCATTGCAAGAACCTCAAGACATCAAGACATCTTAAGTTTTGGCGATAATACCATAAATTTTTTTCAAGATTTCTGTTAAAATCTGCTTCCAAGATGTGAATGCATCGGAGTTCCCACTTTCGCTGCTTAGGTGTTTAAAATGCTTAACCCTATCAAGAAGTCTAAATTTTTAAGACAATTTAAAAAGAAACCGCTTCATAGGTAACAGACTTAATGTAGAACTATATATATTCCATAAAATTTCTTACCTGTGCCAGCTTTAAGATCTGCCGACTTTAATTTAGTAGCTGGATATTGAGAAAATAAAGGATCTGAATTGAAGAACGTCTCAAGGCCATTCGTTATTTACGGAACGGATAGATTGAAAGAGTTTCAGCAGTACCTTGGCAAGCATGGTCAGCTGACTTTAATCCCTTAGATTACTTTTTATGGAGAAGACTGAAAAGAAACTAAGAGACTGTTAGCAGAGCTACCACTTCAATTATGAGAAGAGTTAGACTATGTATAAAGGAACTGGGTGGATATTTTGAACAATTAATTCAACAAATAAAAAATAAAGGGGTTTCTTTTGAATGGACTTTTTAACTTGAAGTCACCCCAACAACACACTCCCAGGCGCTGGCAGTCATGTCATAGGACATCCTATACATTATTATTTTTTATGAAAGATCTTACAAAAACCTACAACTTTTATTTAGCACTTTTTACCCTTCTTTCTGCCTCCATAAAACACTTTAGTGTTATTTATTGGACCACATTTTTTACATGAACCACTAGAAGGGCCTTTTTGCAGAATGATTTACGTCAATTTCTTCAAAAAGTAGATAATATTGAGATCCAACAAATGTGGTTCCAGCAAGATGGAGTTCCTCTGCATTATTGTCAAAAAGTTCGAGGATTTTTCATTCATTTTCATTTTCATTTAAATTTAGGAAAAGGTAGTGGTTTTTTTAAGATCAAATAAAATCATATATAAAATCAATATATTTCAAATTAAAATGATTCAAAAGAAATATTAAAAATGGGTTGTTGTAGTAAACTTTTAAATAATTTTAAATTATGCACCCTTATTATTTTTGGTTAGTTTTAGCTTTGTCATAATTTATTTATGAGAAATTGTTCCGGTTATGTTGTTTTTTCTTTCTTCCTCTTGTAATTAAAAATCTTCGCTTGGCCTGAAAAATAGACGCACACACCTCATTGCGGAAATTGAAAACATTTTTCTCGGTCGTTACCCGAATGCCTCGAAGGAGGTTTTGGAGGGGGTCAACTCCCGGAAGAGCGGGGAAACGCTCCGGGTACATTTTCCCAGGCAATTATGCCGGCGAACTTAATCCGGGGGGTAACAAGAACTCCCGGACGAATCATCTTGCCGTGAAATACTCCCAAAATTAAAACAAATTCGACGGAATTAAATCAGATTTAAGTCGGCCATTGTTCGCGCTCGCGTCCAGAAACGAATTGCCGTCGTCGTCGCTCCGCGTCGCCATTGTGTTGTTTTAAACAATAAAATTTTCGTCGAGCGGATATTATTCGATTGTCGCCCCCCAACCCCCTCACCAACCCGCGGATTTAATTTAACCCCCACCCGCGTTAAACCTCCTCGGTTTCAAGTTTTATCGACGCTTCGGTAAATGGTAGAGGAACCGGCAACGTTGCAAGCGAGAGTTACGTTTCTAGACGCAGCAGCTTCAAAAATGATATTTAAAAATTGTTTTTAAACGTCGGAATGTGAATTGTTGCCAAAACTTATTAATCACTAGTGTATAGCACAAAACTCAAAGAAATTCCCGTCCGTGCAAATCCGTAGGTAAAATGACATTTTAGAAAAAACAAATACCTAGGTCATGCCTTGTTGTGTGTTTTATGGTATTTTAGTGGGAAATGTTCAATAGACCACTTACACCACCAGTTTTGAAGAACAAACTTCTAAATTATGTTTTTTTGTGTTTTTTGGTGGCTTGGTGGGAATTGTATATCATTGTGTCTAGAGCAAAGCTCAATTTCCTTTTTTTCTTATTTTTTTTAAATAAACGTAATGCAACGTCGCATCATGAACACATCTGACCCGTTGATAGTAGTTTCATATTATCTCCTCCAGCGTTTGACGTCAGGACACCATTGCCGACCTCAAACGTTCCACTGGTTACTGTGTGCTTTCGATTATCAAACAGGCTATTCGAATTTCCCAATTGGGTTGCGTAAGACGAAACCAAAATGTCACTCGCGTCGGCTAAATAATCGAATAAAGTTTAATTAGTCGGAGAGGCGGTCGGTAAACGCGGCGCTTTGCTCACGAATTTATATTTAGGTACGCTTGGAATTAATGGGATGCAAGCGGCAAAGGCCAAACATGTCGTTGAGGTTTGAAATACGCTTATCAAGTACCTACCACGCAGCCCGTACAACACACACACACACACACACTCGTCTACGCTTTACTAGACGACACAAACAAATTCGTGTCCTATTAGATCCGTTATTTTATAGGGAAATTGTAGATATACCTCAGGTTCCTCAAACTTCGAGATGTCAACTCCTAGGTTTGAGTAGTTGATCCATTTCTTCGTCTCGCATAACTCATACGCACACTTCATAGATTTTAAAACTGCCCGAGGGACCCCGTTAAATTATGGCTAAGGATAAAACGCTATAAATCGTAAACCCCGTTAAATCACGACCAATTCCATATAAATCACCACTGTTAGGTCACTGATAAATTCTAATAAACTAACGGTAAATCTCCATGGAACCCTAAAAATCCTAGTAAAGCTTTAATAAGTGACGGTAAATCCCGTTAAATTACCTATCAATAATTTAATCAGTACGTCATAATAAAACATTCTAGGAAATCCTTAATAAACTCCATTAAATTACTATTGTTAGATATAATCTTCGTTAAATCAACTCCTAGCTTTGAGTATATGCCCTTCCGACACAATCTGATATTGTGATGAGGTGTTTATGTGTCAATGTCCGTATCAGGATTTTTAGGCTTGTTCTCATAACAGTACTCTACAAATTTTAAAAACAGCACTAAGTATCCCGTTAATTTTTGAGTAAGTTCCTGCAAAATCCCCGTAAATTATCCACAAATCAGCGTAAAACGCCCTAAAAATTCTTGGCAAGTTTAAGTAAACACCGTTAAATCACCAATAAATCCATGTAAATCACCACTGTTAGGTTAAAATCCTTGATAAATTATAATAAGCCATCAATAAATCTCCATTCCGTTAAAGTATCTATGAAGAATTCCACCATTGTTAAATTAAAATTATCCATACAAGTACAAGGTTATATATCAAGGAAATTCCAAATAAACTGCGTTAAATTCCAACTAATTTTGTATAAATCACCTCTACTAGGTTCGAGTCATTGATCATTCCTATTAAACTAACGATAAATCTCAATAAAAGCCAACAAATCGTAGTAAAGCTTTAATAAGTGGCTATAAATCCCGTTAAATTACATATCAATAATTCAATCAGTAAATCGTAATAAAACATCCTAGGAAATCCTTAATGTTAAATTGCCATTGTTAGACTTAATTCTCGTTAATTCAGCTCCTAGCTTTAATTAAATGCCCAACATGTGCACAATTCGATTTTGTGAATGAGATGTTTAAGTTGCAGTATCCGGTTGTCATTGCTATCGGCATTTTTATGTTTGTCCCCCTCATAACTTCGTGCAAAATTTCTGTATATTACCGGCAAGTTTATGTAAAACGCAATAAATTCCAGGCAATTTTTAGTAAACACCGTTAAATCGCCAATAATTCCATGTAAATCCCTATTGTTATGTTCAAATTAATAAGAGGCGGTAACTTCAGTTAATGATATATCTATCGATATATCATAGGAAACCCCCAATAAACTCAGTTAGATTACCATCCTCCCTACCGCCGGGATCTCCGCTAACTAACTAACTATCAGACTAACTCAAACTCGCATACTCATACTTTATACATCTTTAAAACAGAACGAGAATATAAATCCTAGGAATTATTCAATAGAATCCGGTAAATTCCCAATAATTTCGTATAAATCGCCATTGTTAGGTTCAAGTCATTGATATATTCTAATAAAATAACAATTGACATCTTGACAACTTATTTAAGCAGCTATTCTAGACCTTTCAATATTGACTCTCCGTAGGTACATTGCTTTTTCTGTGGGGAACCTGGTTCTCTACCTGGCACGGAGCTCGCAATATGCTGGGACGTAGACCCTTTTTGGTTGTCCCCCGTAGAGGGCGACATCTTCATTCTCAGTAGAGGGGTGCAATTCTGATTTGATCATTTGCTAGGTTGTAAAAGCACTATATTTCTGGTCGAAGTGTAATAACTGGTTGCCGATACGACCGAGGGCACGAAATTATTATTGTAATAGTTTTTTGTCTCGTATAACTTTATTTCCTTGGACGGTGCGGTCATGCATAGTTAATGCGAACGCTAGCGCTAGTAGGACGATAAAACGGAAAATAAAATACGGCGGACACTTAATCGCACCAATGAGCGACGAATAATTTATGACGAAATTAACTAATCATATATGCTCCAACAATGGCCGATCGATCCCGAACAGAAAGCTGTAATTTAGCCCCGCTGTATGTCTCGAGTGTGTCATAATCTAAATGATCGCTCAACTACCACTCTATTCTGAAGAGTACGTCAATCAATCAGTTACGTAATTGCGCTGATCCATTAGTCCTTGTAATTTGACGCAATTTTCTTCAAACTTTTCTCCAATGTTAAGTGATTATTAGAATATTCTAATCGGAGTAATTCCAAGTTCAGTGTGCTGGAATTTTAGAATTTCAAAGTCACTATTGGACCGCATACGAAACAGTTGTTGTTGTTTTCAGATTTTCCGAGGGTGGAAGTCGGACCGGAGAATCCGCTCAGGGTAGAACGCGACTCTCCAGCCACACTAAACTGTTCGGTCGACGCCAAACCTAAAGTGAACGGCGTGAGATGGATGAGAAACACCCGATTCATCAGCTCCAGCTACAGCCACGTTATCCACAGGGTGTCGATTCAAGATGCCGGTAAGTACGAATGCTGCAAACTTTTCGTCGTTCTTGACGCGTCCATTGTCCGTAGGAAAATACACGTGCAGGGCCGACAACAACCTGGGCAAGGCGGGCGAGAAAGAAATAGTACTAGACGTGCTCTACGCCCCTATTGTCAGTTTGGAAGCGAAAACGAAGGAAGCTGAAGAAGGCGAATCCGTTTATATCAAGTGCAACGTAACGGCCAACCCTAGCCCCGTTACGATCGAATGGGTAAATATCTAAAGTCTGGTTAAATTGTAAATAACTTCCCGCAAGATTTGCTAAATCATCGACAAATCCCCGCGAAACCCTACAAATCTTAAAAAATCTTTAATAAGTAAGTAAAAATTCCATACAAATCACCATTGTTAGGTTAAAATCACTGACAAATTCTAACAAGCAAACGATAAATGTCCATATAATAATCCATAATAAAATCGGTAAAATCGCTATAATTCCATATAAATCACCATTTTGAGATTAAAATCATTGAAACTATCAAGAATTCTATCATTCTTAAGTAAAATTCACTGATCTAAAATTCTAATAAACCAACAAATCTCCCAAAAAACTTGAAAAATACTAGTAAACCTTTAATAAGTCGCGGCAAATCCAGTTTTCTGCCAAGAATTCCACCTTCCTTAAGTAAAATTTAACTATTAATTATCAATGAGTCGCAATAAAAGGCTGTAGATCCCAGTAAATCTTTAATAAATTACGTTAAATCAACAATTATGTAGCTTATGTTGTTCATGAGAGTGAAGTTTTAGGAGTGTCATTAAACACGAGGAGTTTCAGTCATAGACAAATCACTGATAAGTTGAAATAAAACACCATAAATCTTTAATAATTCGCCATAAATCTTGTTAATTAATGGATAACAATGTTAGAAATACTTCAATATCGAAAGCTTTAATTTTTTTTGGAGGAGGAGTAATCATCAGTTTTTACTTTGCAATGGCTACAGGTGAAGGATGGCAAACCGGACTTCCGTCAGGCGGGTGACGTTCTCCGTTTGAGTCACGTGACAGCCGAGAATTCCGGAACGTACGTTTGCCGTGTGGTCAACATAATCTCACCTTCCGGTTCCGGTTCGAGACGTTCGGAAAAAGTGGGCAACGCGTCCGTCGCCCTACTGGTACGTCACAAGCCCGGCAGGGCGCGAGTATCGCCTGATCGCCCGGTCGTGTCGGAAGGTGGCGCTGTGACGCTGTCGTGCGCGGCCACGCCCCCTGGCTGGCCTGCGCCGCAGTACCGATGGCTGCGCGTCGGTAACGACGGCCAGATGAACATCCTGGCGACAGGAACGAAGTACACCATCTCTAATGCCAATCTGGCAGCCGAAGGGGTGAGTTAGTTTCATATACATGGTTTGTATAGTCGATGACGCTAGATAGATAGTGACTTCACACTCCTAAAGGGATTGTGCCACCTCAAGGAAGCTTTGTATATCCAAATGAACAGGTGGATCAGTCCTGTGTTTCATACTTTTCTGCTGATTTTCCTCCATTCTTTTCTATTGCTAATTTACGACTCCTGCTCGTCCATAATTTTTTGCAACCATCTTGATTTGACGCGTTGGACGTCATGTGTCATTTTGTTTATTTCGTTCAGACGTACAACTGTCAAGCGACAAACGAACTAGGCCCAGGCGAGATGGCTTCGGTAGACTTGGAGGTGCACCAGCCGCCCACCTTCAAGTACAAACTGAAACCGTTGGAGACCAAGAGGGTAGGCGATCCGAATTTTTCCGTAGCTTGCAGCGCGAAAGGCAAACCGAGACCTTTGGTGCGGTGGTTAAGGGACGACGAGGAGCTCACCGCGGACGCGAACTTGTACGAGGTAATTCAAGAACTTCATACTCTATCCCATTAACAATTCTCATGGGGTAAAAACAGCTGTACACAGCAACAATTCCAAACTTAATTCTGACTGCGGTTGGATCAAACTTTATATAAACAGTCTCAATATCATAAGACAAACGTAAACGTTGATGTCATTTATTTGATTATTTCGATTAAACTTATGTATTTCTAGCAATCTCTCTTTCTCTCTCAACCTATTTGGCAATACCATTTTTGGATCAGTTGCCCCACTAAAAGTCTTTGTTCTTGCTAAGACAACAGAATAAAATTAAATTATGTTTTGGTTAGTTAATCAACGTAACAACAAGTTTTAAAGAAATTCTTCCTACGCATAGCAGCCTCACATATTCTGCTTCAAATAAATGCCTGTTTTACCAAGTTTCCACCGAAAGGCACTAAAATTGGTCAAATAAATCGATATAAAACACGTGACGTCCAAAATACTAAACTTTAACCTAAATCTAGGCTCAGCGAGCGAGCTAAATAAAGTAGAACAAAATATCAATTATCTTACATTTATGTCCTGTTCTTAGACAACACTAGTTTATTCGTATAAACAAGTGTCCCCACCCGTGCTTACACAGAATCACAGAACACTAAGGTTAGTTTGGATTCACAGAATGCCAAAGTTAAGGTTAGCCTATTAGATAAAAGGGTTTTGAAAAAAAATCTATCTATTACACTAAAGTTGTAATAAGCCTTGACTTATATGTTGAAATTAACTTCGTTTGCGTTTGGCAAATAAAGAAAAAGAATTTTCTGAAACTTAACCTATAATTTGTTATTTATCAGTTCTGTGTGTTTTATATGCCGTCATCGATGTTTTTATCTTGTAATTTGATAAATAATAAATTAAATATATTTAAAAAATAATTATAACTCAAAACTGCGGTATTTATATATATTCAAAAATTGCATTTATATTTACTGTTTTGATAGCACATCAAATTCGCCATGGTTGTAGTCGTACCAATTGACTCCTAACCCTACTGTTTATACTTTTAAATTTGTCTTTCGGATGCCTCTTAAAGAAGCAACTAGTGATTAATATAAAATGCTTATAGAACTTCTTCCAAAAAAAAGTTGCATACGATTTGCGGAAGACACCCCTGAACAAAAAGAAGCAGGCATGGGATGCAACTTTCTTCAATTAGTTGATAGGGGCAATAAAGGCCACAGAAGGGTAGAAAAATATCGAATAATAAATTTTAATGGAAAACATTTTTTTGAGATTAGTATTTTCCATTCTAGGCGTTTACTAAAAATAACGTTAAACTGAAAATCAGAAATAGGGAACCGTTGAATCAATAAATGAAAAAAAAAAGAACTTTTCCTGTAAAGGATGGCAGGATATCGAAGAGCTGAGATTATTAGATAACAAACTGTGACCCAAGATATGCAGTATATTATTTTCATTAAGATGTATTTTTGTTGTAAGTCATGTCTATAAAAAAATATTGTTTTTCTGCTACAACGGGCAATACGAAAGTAAATGCAAAACAAATTATACCTGAGTATATCTGAATTCCACTTTGAGGCAATTCTACAAACAAAACTAAATTCATAGCGTTGAAAATTGTCGTAGAAAAAATATATTTAGGTTATGTTTCTTGCTTGAAAATCATTTTCAAAATCAAGTTTCTTATCGTGCTAGTTTCCCTGCAAATTGGAATTATTGACATTTTTGACTTGGAATTGTTTCAATTTTTTTCCTTATTGCATATCAATTATTGAAATTTACATGGTCACTTGACACCTTTCAATTTCTTGAAATATCTTATTTCAATCATTGATTTAGAGTGTCTTCCTGCCAATCAGATAAACTGTGTATAAATATAGCTTAATAGGGGTAAAAGATTTACTTAAAATATTAATTTACAGGTACAAAAATACCAAAAAAAGTTTCTATTCCAGGACGCCATTTGTTTTTTTATTGGTCTTCTTGATGTAAAATTTTGTATTTGTTTTATATAATATCTTTATGTTTTTCAAAATAAAAAAAATTAAACATATTGCGATTGTTTCCATAGGAAACTTTCTTTTGTTATATTGGTATTAGTGAACGTCTGCTCTACTCTACCCTACCAAATTCTAAGGTTTATTGAAATTTCTGTCAAATTACGTTTTTACGTCATAATTTCAACATTGACATCCAGTCAAAGTGCATTTGTGAAAAATTTATTGACGTATCCCACCCCATCAACGAGTTAGCCGCCGTTTTCCGTCGCCACTTTTCCAAGTCCAAGTTTCCCGGCAGGTTAAAACCGAGTATTCCGAATCGTCGAACGGTGCGGTGAACGTCCAAAGCGTGTTGAAGTTCAGCGGCAAAGCGCGCCCTAGCGGCAACGAACTCCTACCATCCGACCGTGGGGTCTACGCGTGTAGCTTCGAGAACGAAGTGAGAAGGGCGGAGTCGACGATGCATCTGAAAATCGAACGTACGTATCGACGGCTGAAGCTCCGCTCACAGCCTTAACCGTGTCATTTTACAGACGAACCGATCGTACTGAACCAATACACCAAAGTGGCGTACGATATATCCGAAACCGCGGAGGTGGTGTGCAGGGTGCAGGCCTACCCCAAGCCCGAGTTCAAGTGGTTTTTCGGCAACAACGTCAGTCCGCTCCACTCGTCCTCGGAAGGTCACTACGTGGTGCACACCAGCGCCGATGACGACGACGTCTACACCAGCGTGCTCAGGGTGTCGCACATCAAGAAACAAGACTACGGCGAGTACGCGTGTCAAATCGTCAACAGTTTGGGCAAGGTGGAGACCAAAATCCGGCTGCAGCCGAAAGGACCGCCGGAAAGACCGACCAGATTGACCGCCCTGTACACGGGACCGACGTTCGTCACGTTGGGCTGGGAACCGGGCTTCAACGGCGGCGTCTTCAACACAAAATACTTCGTATTGTACCGGAAGGTGCCGAACGACGACGACGCAGTCGTCGAGGGCTGCGGCCCTGTATCGAAGCACACCAACTGGGCGGAGTCCGACTGCCAGCAGAACGTGCCTTGTAACGTGACCAATTTGGACCAGCACCAGACTTACGTTTTTAAGGTACACGCTTATTACACTGCTTTCACGAAATTAGAGATCTCTGTTGTCTGTGACGGACCTGCGAGATTTTTTTGAAGCCGCTCAACTTTGGAACCGTTCGAGGTGGGTGGTTCAAATTGTCCCACGTTATAATGCTGGGCGATGCGCAGCACCCTGCAAAATGTTGACTCGATACACGGCATCGGTGGCCATTTTTTTGGCTATTTTTAGTTTTTTGGCGCGGAAAGTCGCTACGAAACGTAGTAAATGCCCGAAATGTAGAGGTAAAGTCTGTTCATAGATATAACACCCAGGTAAGCTGTTGTCCGATCAAAGAAAAGTTAAAGCGGAAGATGCACGAGATTTCGGACGATAACCTAAAAGTATCCTTTAATCAAAATTGTACAGGGTGTGCCGGTTATTGGCAAAAAGCTAAAAACTGCCCTTTTTCGGAGTAAATTTTAAAAAATAAAAAAATTGTCTGGCAGCGCAAAGAATGGTTAGTTATTTGGTTAGGTAAACTCAAAATCTCAGTTCTCGGTGACAGATTTGGATCAATAACCTAAAAGTAGCCCTTAATTGACACTGAACAGAGTGTGCCGGTTATTGGCCAAAAAACTAAAACTGACATTTTTCGGAATATATTTAAAAAATCAAAAAACCGTCAAGAATAACAAAAAACAGCTATTTTTAGTCAGTCAGTTGTTAGTTATACTCGAGATCTGTTGTCTGTGACGGACCTGTGAGATTTTTGTGAAGCCGCACAACTTTTGAACCGTTCGAGTTGAGGGGTTCAAATTTTCCCACTTTCTAATGCTGCTTGATACGCCGTCGCCTGGAAAATATTGGTAAGATACACGACATCGGCGGCCATTTTGTTGCCTATTTTTAGTTTTTGCTCGGAAAGTCCAAATAAAACATATTGAAAAAATTGAAAATTTTTTTTCAAGACCACAAAAACTCGATTTTCTCGAAAACTGTATGTCGGTTCCAAAAAATTGTTGAAGCGAAAGATGCGCGAGATTTGGGCCGATAACTTAAACCTATCCCTTAATCGGGACTGTACAGATTGCCCCGGTTATGGACAAAAAACTAAAAACTACCAAAATTGTACAGGGTGTGCCAGTTATGGACCAAAAAACTAAAAACTGCCATTTTCCGGAGTGTCTTTTTAAAAGTCACAAAATCGTCAAGCATAACAAAGAACGATTATTTTTTGTTTAGTTAGTTAATTAGTTAAACTCGAGATCTTTGTTCTCTGTAACGGACCTGCGAGATTTCTTTGAAACCGGACAACTTTCGAACCGGTCGAGCTGAGGGGTTCAAATTTTCCCGCGTTGTAATACTGCGCAATACGCAGTCGCCTGGAAAATATTGGGATGATACACGACATCGGCGGCCATTTTGTTGCCTGTTTTTAGTGTTTGCCCTGAAAGTCGCCATAAAACACAGTAAGTGTCCGAAATGTCAAGGTATCGAGTCCCAAACATTAAAAAAATCAAAAAATTGTCGAGCATAACAAAGAATGGTTAGTTAGAACTATTGAACCACAGATCATTGACTCAAAATATTTCTGTGGTCTATCATTTTGAAATTATTTCAGGTGAAAGCGCTAAACACGAAAGGGATCGGCGAAAACTCGCAAGAAATCAAGGCGACGACCCGCGTGGATCGCATCCCGGTACCTCAGCGCGTCGCCTACGACAAGGCCACTAACACGTTGTCAATTAACGTTCCGGCCACATGTCTGCCTATGGTCGCGGTCGTCGAAACTATCAGCAACGAGAACCACCCCGTCACAGCTTGGCAGGTGATCGACACATTGCCCTTGCAGGTAGGCCTCGATTTTAGATTCTTCTTCTTCTTGACTTCCATTGGCCACAACTGCTAAGATCACTCGGCGACTCGCAACTATGGTTCAACATTTTCTTTATAACCTGAAGCGTGCCTTAATTAAAAGGGACTGGAGGAATCCATCCAAAGGAAACAAACTAATGGAAAATTCTTCTTTCTTCGCAACATTTCACCGATAGCAAAAAACGCCTTCCCCCGCTTCCTCCAAGGACCATCTGGCCTCCAACCAGCGTGGACGACTAAAAGCAGAGGGTCGACAACGATTATACACTTAATAACATTCACTAAACACTTAGAATACTAAATAGAGCAAAAAATTTCAAGTTTCACTGCAGAATCTATCGATTTTAGGTTATGCACTATTCACGTCTTCTTAAATAACCAATGCATCTAAATACTATTTATTTGGATACTGCGTCATTGGGCAATAGGCCTCTTGCCCTTTAGAATATGTTTCCTAAAAACAAAAATATCTTTACTCTGTAATTAGACCTAGAAAACTCGTCCGCTGCTTTTTCGTTTGGCGTCATACAGAAAAGCTACGCCATTCGTCCGACGTCACCAAGTACGTGGAGAAAAGCAACCCACTGTCATCGTACATTTTATGTTGTTTGGCCTATGGTTTGTGTTTGAGTTTATTCTTGGAGGCTTGAATTTAATTCGTGCGTTCGTGTGATTGTTATTTGTAATATTTCCATATTTCCAATATGTCCGAAGGATTTATAAAAGGGCCGTTGGTGGACTACTTGATCGTTTTTGATTTTTTCGCCAAGAACGAATTCTTCACGTGTGTTTATTTTCTTTTTGTAAGACGTCCTCCAATTCAGTTATTGAGACACTTATTCCGCAGGTTTATGTGTACTCCTGCAGAACATTGGCTATATACATTTTTTTCATATGTAATATTTCTCGAGTCCGAAGTACTGGCTTCGATTAAAATATCTTGGATGATGTGTCTTGTCCTTTACAAGGTGGATAAATTAGCCTTCAGCCACCCGGGCACCGCAAAATATACAAAATTAGAGTTTTTTCATTCTTTTTTGAATTACCATCACTTTCCATATCGTGCTACAACTGAAAAAAAATATCATGGCTTCCAGCTATTTTTTCCGGGTTTTCTTGAATAGGTAATTTAATTAATGTTTATATATTATAGTGCTAACGATAACGCTAAACCATTTTCAATTCGAAATTAACTAAAAACTCACGAAAAAATGTCAAGCTGACAACTGTCAACATGAAAACGTACCTCGTGACATCACCAACAACTAAAATGTCCAGATTACATTTTTTTAGCGGGAAATTGACCAGTTCAATTTTTTTAAATTTTTTAACATCACTTATAGTAAAAATATTTAGGGGGAATATTTTTTACGTCTTATTAAGTATTTTCATTCAATGATAAAACCCTATTCAGACGGTATGCGACAAGTTTTCAAGGCTATCTACTTTTTTCAAAAGTTCAAAGTGATTGAAAAAATGAACCCATGAGAGACGTCTAAGGTTATATATTCTTAAATGATAATAAATAATAATAAATAGTAATAGAGTGTTGTTCTATATTTATCTCCCGGAAAATAAGACCAGTAGTGGATCACCCAACCTTAAAAACTTCAACTAGTGTCACTAAAAAATAATTTTCATCGGAAATTATACTACAATATGGCAGATTATTTGTTCAGAAAAACAAAGGTCCTTATAATGACGACTGGCGAAGGGCGTTAAATGATTGGCCATAATCCAATGTTGCCGGATCTATTTGCCTTCTTATTTTTAGGTTAGGTTGTTGGTTGTTTCTCAATTCTGCCACTCCAAGCGTTGGCGGAAGTTACAACTTTTCCTGCATGTTTATTATTAATTATGGAATGACATTATGATCATTTTCCAAGCGTGTTGGTTGATATTGACTGATTTATCCCAAAAACGCCGTTGCTTCTTTCAACCGCCATTGTTTAACGTAGGTGTCCGGTCAGAATCCGACCTACAAAGAAAAAAGCCTCGACAAAATGATGACGCGTAGCTTCGGCGCGTTGGGCAGGTCTCTGGTCGACGAACCCATCGGCATGGACGAGTACAGTCCGCGCATAAGAGTGAAACTGTGCCTGCGCACTCATCACGACGACCACTGCGGCGAATTCGTCGAGGCGGAACGTGAGTCGCCCCGCCCCCAAATAAACCGGCTCCCCCGCTTGACCGCCATTTTTTTTTTCGCAGTGGGTTACGCCAACTCGATCCGCGAAGCGTCGGCGCTCACCACGCCCACCCTGATCGCGATAATCGTCACCTGTATCCTGTTCCTGCTCAGCGTCGCCCTCCTGCTGATCTTCTGCCGGTGCAGACGCGCCCAGCAGTCGAAGAAAGCTCAGCAGGCAAAAGATTACGAGATGGACTCCGTCCGGCCGACCATCATACCCGCGTCGGTGGGTCAGCAGTGTCAGGCCCCGCCTCCGTATTACGCGACTCCGCCCTCCGGTCTCGAGAACAAGGCGATGGATCTGGCGCAGCTCGCGCTGGAAGATCAGAAGGCGGTGTACGCGGCGACTCAGAACGGATACGGGTACCACGGCGAGCCGAGATCGGACTGGCCGTACTTGGACGCGGGGTACGCCCCCTCGCAGACCAACGGGAACGGCAGCGTCAATTCGCAGGACTCGCTGTGGCAGCTCAAGATGGCGGGCGGCGCGCTCACGCAGGGCTACGACCATAACGGCTACGCCGGCCAAGACGACTACGCCGCATACCCTCAGGATCCGTACGCGCAGGTGAGTCGCAGAGGCGATGACATTGGTATATGGTTTTCTTAGCGCCTTGGAAATTTTTATTTAATTCATTTTATTTTCAAGATCTGTAAATTAATCCCAACATCAATGGTATGGTGTGGTGGTTAATGAACGCTTTTGGCTATTCTGTGGATAATGAATCCTATGCTGGTCATAAGTGACCTGGGAATTAATTTAAAATCTGAGCTATCCTTTGTTTAGGACAAACGAGCCTTTTATGATGTTGGATTTTCTCAAAAGGAATACCAGGAATTTCCCTTTCTCTCTATTTCTCTTTACACTTTTATCATAAGTTCACACTGTTTTTTAGCAATTATCCTTTTGATCTTCTTCTATCTTTCCAACTAACTAATGGATTGTCTACTTTTTCGATTTGAACCTCACACGTAACACATAGACATGGTCACCTCACAAATTGTGGAGCTAGTACATTTACATCACATACCTCAGCCATGGCCAATCAGTGATCATTCGTGATCTGGAGTTCAAGTGAGAGCTTAATCATCCGGTTTCATTTCATTTAATAAAATTTAAGCAGTTTTGCTAATAAGTAAATAAAATGGAACTCTCTATAAAAAAAAACTGACAATTTTCATCAGATCAGCTGATTCCAACAAGTCAATTTTTTCGACTCAATGGATCAAATTCGTTTTGTGCATCATCGAAAACTTCTTCTTCTCGTTCCGTCTCCTAACGGAGGTTGAATATTGCATAGTTGATTGGATGTCAAAATCAACAAAACAAGTGTAGACATCTTGGTTCATCGAAAATTATTATATCATAAATACAGTCAGTAAAAATGATTTTAAAAATATTAGTTTAAATTATTTAGCTACATTATTTTGCATATTAATATAATTTTGTAGTTGTTGATATACACATTGTTGGTTAGTTTTATGTCTTTTTCTTAACCTATAATGACAGTAAAAAAAATAAAAGCAAAATAATGTAGGGAATTATTAATTATCATTTATTATTTAACAAAATATATATAAATTTACTGTTAAAACCAAAATGTCATATTTAAAATGGCATGCCTAATTATTAGAATAATGAAAAACAATGACACAGATAAAACTGTTGCGTTTTCAATGCTTTAAACATGAACATGAAACGTTTCTTTAGAGGTGGAAAAGACATTTAAGTCGGTCAAGAGAAAATGGTGGAAATTATGGAAAAGACCAATGTTTTAAGATTTTTTTTTTTGTAAGACGTCTTTTCTTTGGACGCCTTTGGAGCAAACTATTATAAAAACATGGAGATATAGAATGGAGATTTTTACCAAAATTACCCCAAATTCAACCTCCTTTTTAAATCCTCTCGTAAATTTTGTCATTCATATTTTAGGTTATGATAAAATATATTGAGTTGCGGTGTTCACTTGGTTGTATCATCATGCACAAAATTAATTTTTTGCCAATATGCTAGAAAACGCCATCTGGTGGTAGGGTACTCAAACGCAATCTGATATTAAAATCCATGCTCTAGTTATCGAAATTTGTTTCCGGAAATGTTGGAGAACCGCCACCTCTTTCTTTTTTAGAGGTAGAGTGAATGTGTCTCAGCTTTTTAACAGTGTTCGCTATTTATTAAAGTAAGAAATTTTTGCACCAAGCGGGTTTTACAATTCAAGAAGTCAATCACGCCCTCTGGTTTCGGTTTCAGGATAATTTTTGCCCGAATTGTTTTTTTTTTTCAAATTTTTACGAAATTCGACTCTTGAAACAATGCGTGTGCGTTTATTCCAAAAATGTCGGAACAGTCCCCCACCACTTTTCAGTTCAGTTCAGTGTTTTTACCCCCCAGGATTTAATTGGGCAATGTAATGCAAAAAGATATAAAAATATTTGAAGTTAACGTCGTAAATATCGCTTCTTAGGTCCACAAGCCCAAGAAGAGGTTAGAATCGCCGTACCATGACGTCAGCGGCCTGCCCGACCCATACCTGGAGCCTTTGGACGAGGACAAGCCCCCGCCCCCGGGTCAGCACATGTCGCTCGGCTACGAGGAGTCGCTCGAGAGCGGCTACTCCACCCCCAACTCGAGAACGCGCCGCGTCATCCGCGAGATCATCGTATAGACGCAGGTCCGGGCCCAACAGCCGGCCGCCTTTTGCCCCTCCCTCCCCCCGGTACCTGAACATTGACCGCCGGTCGACGTTGTCACGGAGAGATTTTTTTTTAAGTGTTGTGTTTCCAAAAAAAAGTAATAAATAAAAAATATTGTCGGCAAATATGTGTAACGAGTGAGATAAATGCGAAGTGCTGCGCGGTGATCACCGTGCGAGGTTGAAATGTGATTTTACTTGCAATAAGTGATTCTTGTGCCCTATAATTTGTCGGATGTCATATTTTTGTAAGTATGTCTTTTTTGGGTGAAAACGCACGTTACTTTAGGGGAAGGTGGACGTGGGGCGCGGTTTCTATGGTTATGAGTAGGCCAACACTCCTAGAAGGCTGGTAGAGAGAGAAACCCCTCGCGAAGAAAGAAAGGAACTGCATACAGTGTGTCCAATACAGGATCTGTATTGAACAGTTTTGAAAATCCTAAATCGCAGACATGAAGAGAAACAGGATCTTTTTAAATTTATTTTCGAAATATTCCGTAATTTTTTTTATTTCCGCCATATCAAATATTTTCATTATTACATAGAGAGTGCGAAATGCTCTTTAATGATGTATCACATGATGCATTTATCGTTTAGAGTCACAAAAGCAAAATTTGATTTTTTTTATAGTAGGCTGTGATCGCTCCTAACAGACAGAAAAACAAAATTTTTTGACAATTTTATCGCTATAAACTTAGTGACTGTTTGACAGGTTAACGTCAGTTACAATACAGAAGTTATGCGCTACGTGGCCTTTTAATTTATTCAAAATCTTTTATCATAACCTAACGCAACGCATATAAATTAATAACTCTATCCCAACATTATAGAAACTAAACATCAATGGTCTTTAATGAACTTTCAGAGTGCCTCCCGTCATTTTCTATTTAATACGGATGTACTAATCTCAGCTCTTGAAAGTTTGCCTACAGCATTTCAGATACCCCAAGGTAAAAGTCTGGAGCAGTACAGTCTGGAGATCTGGCAGGCCACGGAAACAAACTGCCCCTTCCTATCCAATCGTTCGGATAAGTCAAATTTCACAGCCTACTAAAAAAGCAAACTATTTATGACAATCTCGGTAATTAATAAACTAGTTAATTTTTAACAGTATTGATAAAGGAAATAGAATTTATATATTTATATATTATTAGATGGGGCACAAAAATGCTTTTATCGTCATTCCTAGAGTCACAAAAGCAAAATTTGATGATCGTTCCCGACAGACATTCAGAAAAAAAAATTGACAGTCCCATAATCGCTATAAACGTAATGGGCTTTGAAAATAGAAACGTTTATGAGCCGCGTGGCCTTTTAATCTATTTAAAAACGAAAAGAAATTCTTTTTTGCCATAGTAATACGCCAGATATACTTAAGATTGTGTTGAGTTCCACCTATGATTAGAAAATAATCGCCATTTGTTTGAACATCCTTTTTTAATGGAGACTGTAAATATTACTATCAATGATATTAACTAATCAACAATATGTATTAATTATTGAATTACACTTAAAATTGAATAATTATTTATTTATTTTTATGTCAGTAATTCCAAGTTGCTCCAATGTAATTAATAAGTACTTTTATTCGAAATTTTTTATGCCATTTATGCCATAGTCGGTTGAAAGCGATCATGGCCTACTACAAAAAAAAAACGGTTCATACAATACATCATTTAATAGCATTTTTTATGCTCTAATAAAGTGTTCTTATAATGTACTGATCCCAAGTTCTCTGTCTAAGAACTTATTATATTTATTACATTACAGCTAGAAGTTTCGCACCGTGGCCATTTTTGTTTTTCCTTCTATAGGTTCACATCTGTGGATTTTCTTTAGCGATTTGAAATTTGACGCTATTTTTTGTCTCTAAATTTGATCCACATTGTCGTAACCCCAGAATAAATGCGTGTTCTGTCTCTCTTTGTGAGTGAATCAGCTTGTGTACTCATACATACCAACTTTCTAGAACTGTTGACATTGAAAAGAACTAGCTACGCCTTGGCTTGAAACTCAAATTGTTTTTCAACTATCATAAAATTGGTAAAAACTATTAGTTTTGAATTTCAATTTTTGTCCGTTTAATTAATTAACATATTATCCAATCACAGACATCTCACCAAGGTTTAATAAGACTAATAACTATAACAATTATGCAACTAATACTTATCCAGCAACTTCTCAAAACAATTTGTAAACATACATGGATACGTTAGAATAGGTATTCATAAAAGTCGCGCCCTCTACTAAAAAAAAATTGTACCAACAGTCCAACTCAGCCCTCCAAATTTGTTGAAGAATTTACTTTGTCGGACGCTTGGTTTGATTTCGATGTGCCAAATAAACACTAACAAAATTCCCACAAATGCTCGTTTATATTATATTTGTAATGTTTGTATTTCATGTTTGTATTATAATTATGTACTTAAATTTTATGATTAGGTTTTAAAACTGATGTGTTTTCAATTCGCCTCCGGGCACGATTTTAAATACTTTGCTGATCTCATACCTTTGTCATTCCGGCGTTTCTTTTTTTAAATTTCGTTACTTGAACAGCTTCCCGAGGACTGATTAAAGAACCGCCACTTAAAAAAAGAAACTTACCGGAAATCCGCCAAACGAAGTTATAAATTATTTTAAAAATATGTTTTTATTGTACAAAAGCGTTAGATATAATAACACTACAAATTACGCGCAAATGTTTTCGATTTACCCGTGGGCATGGATCAGAAGGAGGTAATTTATTTTTTATTGTTTTAGCGGACAGATTTTTTAATGTGTAAAGATCTTGTGTAAATAAAACTTGCAGAGACTATTATTTCCTAGGTTTAAGGTTTATCGTTTAAGAGACATTGCAATTTTTGTGTAAATAAGTATCGCACTTGTATGGCACTTATTCCGTTTTTAGTTTTTGTAAATAAATGTTCATAATTAAGATGCAAAGACGTTTTAATTTTTCGCCTCCACTCCCGTGGTTATTGAATTTCAAACCTTTATTTCCAACATTCAAGTGGTCATAATTTAAAATTCAGTTTTGCCACTCGGACCAGGATTAGTTTTCTTCTTCTTTCAGGTTTTAGGAATTCTTGCCTGCTTTCAAACCCCTGTTTTTCTTGAACTCACCCGGATTTCTTTAACATTGATTAAATCTGACTTTGATTGCTATCTTTTCCTAATGCATCCCTTGTATCTTTTCTTTCCACTTTTATTTTTTTACTTACATTTTATTATATATCTTTTTATATTATATAATATATCTCTCTGCCTTTGGTTTATAACATGCATGGCAGCCTAAATATGAAACTATTTCAATACAATAACTTTGCATTTTTGTGGAGCACCAAAAAATTATCTGTTGACAGCAATTTTAATTTTGTAAAATATGTGGCGAAATTACATCGTGGCTACCGTTCTTAAGACTTAGGGCAAATAGAAATAAGTAGGAATAGGTACTTTAAAGGGTGGACGTATGATCGTAGTACTCTTGGCCAAGAGTAATAAGGAAGAACAGAAAGTTGTGTCAAGTTAACCAATTTCGTGAAAATCATTTTTAGAGTATTCTTAGCAAACTATTCCGGACCACAATGTCCAAGAAGGAATATAGATTAAGCAAGAGCCTCTACGGGCACTCATTGGACGTTAGATGTGTGGTAGTGACGTCTCAAGCCGACATAATTAGTTGTTCTAGGGATAAGACGGCAAAATTTTGGAAATACAACCCGTTTCAGAACAACTACGAGGACGTAATGACGTACAAGGACCACAAAAATTTCGTCGGGTGCGTTTTGTACCTCGAGCCCACCGAAGAGTTCCCCGACGGGCTGGTCGTGACCGGAGGCAACGACAACCTCATATTAATTTACAAACCCTCGGAGCCTTTTGCCACGTTTACCCTCAAGGAACATTCGAACGCAGTCAGCTGCCTTAGCAATACAAACGAGGCAAACTGTTTCCTGAGCGGCTCGTGGGACACAACTGCCAAATATTTTCGTATCTCGGGCAGCCCGAAATGCGCTGTGTCGTACATTGGTCACACAGCGGCAGTGTGGTCCGTTATTCAACTAAAAGATGGTAGGATTTTAACGGCCAGCGCCGACAAAACGATAGGAGTGTGGAATAGCAATGGGGAAAAACTGCAGTCTCTAACAGGTATTCTACATATGAAATAGATAAGTGATGTTAATTTGCAAAGTGTGTTGATTCTGGAAAAATCAAGAGTTGAATGATTTTGCTCAATCGCATGACCTTAAAAAACTGAAGTAAACTGGACTTTTTGCACCTGCTATTTTGGCGTTGTTTTACTCTTAAAATGTATACCATCTAGAGGACGCTTTTTTATGTTTAGCCAGATCTTGTGTAACGAAACAATAGCTTCAGAAGTGCAAAATTAATATAAGCTACTCTTGAGGGCTCTGCTGGGTTAGAATTTAATGCCGTATATAGTATGTCCTAATATTTGGCAATTCTTTTTATCTTTGGTACATTGAACATTCTACAATCCTCCAACAAGTTTTTTCAACTCTACTTATAATATGGTTGGAACAAAATATTGAGTTTTATGCATAAAGTTTACTTTTTATTTAGTCTGAGGTTTTACCTTATCTCTTATTTGATGCGCACTTGATGGGAAGTGACGTAGTGTTCCCGTGTTAACCCATAAGGTTCAACGCCACCTACCGGAGAATTAGGCTACTGAGGATTAAAACGCACTTACCTGTTGTCAGTAGTAATACCATAGTTTTGAAAATAGCCAGGTTAAGAATTTTGAAAATTAAGATTTGTTTTCATTTCATTGCCCATGAACTGTTACCTTTTAAATATTTTTTATCATACCAAAGAAATCGTTTTCATGGTTATTACACGTTTCAGTCAGTGGTTTGAAGAAAAAAGAACTTGCAAAAACTATAAATGTTGAATTCAAAATAAATTAGGTTATAACCAACATCTTTTACATCACAAGACCCTGAACACTGCATTATGGATTAGGATGAAGCAATATAAAATGTAATCTTAAGAAGCACATTTATATTCATAAGGACTTTATCAATTATTATTTTTCTAGTCATCTTAATTTTTTGGGACCGGCCATTACATTTATCATTTCTATATGTCCCAGTAAGTAGGTATAAGTGCGTATATAGAAAACATGCCAATAATATTGCCAGACAATATTTAAATTTCGAGTGTAACCATTCAGTTCGTTCTTTTAAAAATTGTCTCAGGTAAAATTGATATTTTTTCGGGAGTCCCGCAAGGTTCTAACACTGGACCCATCCTCTTTAACTTAGCGTAGTTTCGCATTAGTTAGTATTAAAGACTTGGGTGTTCTATTCGATTCCAAATTAAGTTTTGTTATACATTTTGCGGAATTGGTAAACAGGTCTATGCGAGTCCTTGGGTTTGTTGTATGCAATAGAGGTTAGCTTACTCCAAATTGCTTCAAACTCATCTATATTTCTTTGGTTCGCTCTAGACGGGAGTATGCACCTGTAGTATGGTCTCTATATTATGCCTGTCATATAGATAACATCAAAGCAGTTCAGAAAGTATTTTTAAGATCAGATCCCAGAAGATTTCGGAGTGATTTAGTTTTTCTCTTTAAAATACTGAATATTTGATTTATTGTTATTGTTATATTTTATTCTGGTTTGATTCTAGCTATTATACTGCTGTCTGTCTCTCCATTTATGTAGAATTAAGCAGTATTAAAAAGGATAATTTCTACACTCGAAAATGTATTGACAAAACATTATCAAATTGTAAATGGAAAGCAATAGCAAATTGATGTGAGATAAATACTCCCGCTTGACGATCCCATACGTGAACGGAATCTCAGTTCTGTCAAAAAGCAAAATAATACAAGTTAAGACACATTACGGAGCATATTTATCAGGACAAAGGAAAACAATGGAAATTCGATATTAGTATTTTGTGGTAGTGAATGCAAAACTATACGCAGAATTTTGCTCATACCGTTTTAATTTCCCGTTTGTTCAGTATCAAATACCTCAATCGAAAGGTATAAAAGCACATATAATCCTGTAGCGGACGCCATTTATTCACGTTTTCGTGATTGTGTACAGCGTGTTAATAACCATTAAAATGGCATAAGGGTTAAATCAAAGAATCAAAATAAATAATCATGATAAATATCAATGATAAAGACACGGTGTTGTCCAAACAATTCTCATGTAAAAATATATAATTTCGTGCAAATCTGAACTTTTAGTTCTTATTTATTTTGATAAATGGATTTTCATCAAGTAAAAGCCTCCCTAGTTCAATTTTTAAATCAAAGAGTATAAGATAGAGGAGAAGGTCGCGTATACTGTTACGAGTGCCATCTATTATTTGTGTCCAAGAACTAAAGTACTGTCATGGTGGTTTAAAGTAATGCCTCACACTGAAAATACTACAGTAGCCTGTACAGATAACAGCACTTTATTTATTTAGTACCCTCTAAAGTAAAAAAAATTCAAATTTTAACTCCTAAATCTTTAAGGGTGCACAAAGGGGCTAGAACGATAGGTCGATTGCGAAGCCGAATTAACAAGATGGAGAAGAAATTTGTTGCAAAACAAAAAATGAAGCAAGACGTTGAATCAATAATACATGCACGGTCAAATTATTCCAACTATAAGGACTTTGAATGAATACCAGAACGATTTTCCTACCGCTCCAGGATAAAATTAAATCAACTGAAAGATATGTATGTAAAAAGCACCCCTGAGAATCGTCTTAGCATTTTATTCGACGAAATAAGTTTAGCTACTGAAGTTCATTATGATGCGGTCAAAGGCATGTTCCACGGTTATGCTGATGATGGAGGGGAGGGTACAAATGAAATGGATTAATAAACCAATGAAACAAACGATTGCATATTGGTTGGTTCATCAGACGTGATTTCAAAGAGACTGATACTGCAACATCTAATTTCGCAAAATCAACTACTGAAAAAATAGAAAAACCAAAGCAAAGTGACAACGAAAGAGGAGAAATAGAGGATGAAGTACAATTTAAAAAATCAAACCGAAGTGAGGACCAATAAAAAAGAAAATATTTTAGTTATCTGCTGTAATCATGTAAACTAAAATGTTTTTATATGTATTATTTAATTATCAAACTCTTATATATGGTAAAGCATATTTTCGTATCTTCATTTCTTTTATTAAATATATTTTTTCATATTCTAAGTGCAATGATAGATTTTTAGCTGTTTAGCAGTGTCTTTTAAGAAAACTTTTATTATTATGAGAGAACTCTAACCAATTTTTATATTCTGTTTTTAAATAGAATAAATTTTATCGTATATCAAATTATTAACTAAAAAAAGCGTTCTTCTAGCTGATATTTACTTATAATAATAATTTCATTATTTTAAGATTATCATTAATCATTTTTTGTTACTATGTATTTTCAGATGTTTATTAATTTCATAAATTTCAATAATTTTCAACTATTTTGAAATAAATTATTTTTTTTCACATTTTACATTTCCAAATTTAAATTGAATTGAACATCAAGCGTGTTTTCCGTTTCCATGACTGGACACGATCACTAGAGGCGTTTAAAGTCAACTCTTGTTAACATTGCCACTAATGGGAGCCTTCCCTTCTATCTTATACTCTTTGGGATAAATTTCATAACAGGTGCAAAAAGTCTCAGTCGTTTGCAAAAATTTAAAGGATACGAAACTAGGTTGGGTTTTGGTTAGGTTATAGGATGATTTTTATTTAAGGGCACACGGATTGCGTAAGATCTTTAGCCGACTTCGCGGAAACTGGTGAATTTATTAGTGTCGCGAATGACGCCGCAATTAAAGTCTGGTCTTATTCCGGGGAAAACCTGAATACGTATTACGGCCCAACTAGCTACATTTACAGGTAGGTATGGTCTGTTCATAGATATAAGAAAGTGACCAATTACTTTTGAATGGGATTATCCAAGGGTGCTCATTAACGTACAATGCAACAAGATTATTCCTAGTTTCAGAATTTAAATTCACGTAAAGTAATTTATACCTACCTGTGTTTATTATTCTTTGGTTTGGTATACTACTCAGTGTAAGTTTATTAGTAATTATTCTTATTTCGTGTGTAATTCAGCGTGTGTTGAATCGTGTGCGAATTATGCAAAATATGTGCGAGTCTAGTGTGTCTCAGGAGATGCCCAAATGTAGAAAACACTATTCTATTGAGACTAAGGCTAAGTTATAAACAATGTTTATTTGACTCTCATTGAACGTGGTGCCAGCAAGCAAGCATCTTTAGAAGAAACAGCCACATTGACGAAAATTCCAACATCAACTGTATCGAAAATTGTGAATAATCCCATTTCAGCGAGGAAAGAAGGGATGCTGACATTTTCTCGAGTGTAGATAAAAGATATAATACGGCTTAAAATTTAGCGTGCCTACCTTAGATATCTTAATTAGGAGGCTTGAAAAAGATGAAACCGGTGTTAAATGTGGCAGAAGTACCTTATGGAAGTGTATTCGACACATGGGTTTTAGATTTAAAAAAATTGACAAAAGGCAAGTTTTAATGGAATCTTTTAGAATTCGGAAATGGCGACTGGAATGTCTAGGTAAAATTAGGATTTACAGAGAACAGCAAAGGCCAATTATTTACTTGGATAAAACCTGGTTCGACACTTATGAGATACCCTGGAAAAGGGTTGGATTGACTCAACTGATAAGTGTAAAACGAACGCGCCATCAAAAAGAGGTTGGATTCCAAATGGACTTTCTCTATCTGCGAAACATATTAAAGATTCTTCTCTGGATTACCATGAAGACACCATCGCTGATTTATCTCAAAGTTGGCTTAAAAACAAACTAGTTTCAAACATTCCTCCTAATACCGTTATTGTAATGGACAATGCAAGTTATCACAGTAGACAATTGACTAAAACCCCTGCCTCATGTGATACAAAAGCAACAATCCAAAACTACATGTATAATTATGACTTTATTTTCACGAATATTATACCAAAAAGCAATTAATTGAGGTTCTACGAGCTTGAACCTACAAAAGGAATACGTCTGTGATAATTATGCAAAAAATCTAGGGCATACAGTTTTAAGGCTTCCACCTTATCACTGTATATTTAATCTCATTGAACATGTTTAGCACCAACTGAAATCTGCCATTCGTCGTAATAATGTTTTTCCCCGTGTTAATTCCAATGTCCTCAAACTTATAGAAACCGAAGTTTTTAACATCCCTCCAAAAAGTTGGGCAAATTCTGTTAAACATATAGAAAAAGCGGAACAATCGTATATCCACATTGCAAGTAATATAGAACAAATAATAATTAGAACAGGCGATGATAACGATAGTGATACTGATATGTCAACAATTTTAATTAATTTAAGTAGGTAATAAAAATAATTTGTAATTTTATTTTAGATTTAAACATAAATACATACATAAATAAATAAATATTGTTTAGTATCTTTCTTAACAAAATCCCAAATAATTAAATTCTAAGCAAAGTACGGACCTGTTCTTACAACTTGCCCGGGTCTTTCCTTAATTCATGTCAGTTAGTCACTTTCTTATATCTATGAACAGACTTTATATTTATTTCCACCGATTCCAGAGTATGTACAATCGATCAAAAAAGTCCCCGTACATATAGTATTTTTTCAGTTTTCTTTCACTAACTTTTAATGAGATATCAGGTAATCGGAAATCTCATTAAGTCTCTAATTAATAAGTCTCCTATTATTTCTTATGATAAATTGAAAAGTTTCGTAAAGTCTAATGTTTCCTACAATTGCCATTTGCTTTAATAAGTCCTTTTGCAAGACTTAAAACCAGCTTTTTTGTAAGTTTTGGCGATATGTTTTCCCACTCTTCCCTTATCCTATTTTTGAGGTCTTCTCTACTCGTAACTTGATGTTTTTTCACTCGTCGCTTTAATTCTTTAATAGGTGCTCTATGGGGTTAACATCCGGAGATTGTGGTGGTGTTGGCTACAAGCGTAGCAGTGCATTTAGGATCGTTATCCTGTTGGAATAAATAACGCCCCTCATGGTTAAGTTTTTCAACACTTTGGTTTAAATTATTCTTTGGGATGTTCAAATAGCCATGTTGGGCCATGATTCCGTCAATAAAAGCTAAATTGCCTGTCACATTAGCTGACGTGCAGCCCATGCGTCCCTCCACCATGCTTCACCGTAGGACAGACATTTTGAATTTTCAGATCTGTATTAAGTATAATAATAAAGATTAATTTTTGTTTCGTCACATAAAGATAGCATTTTGGAGCGCTTCTTTGAGAATTAATTCTCATTTTTTTCGCAACAGAAGACTCTTGAATGTGTTTTTTTAATTATTTTAAGAATTTTTGTAAAGGATTTTTTCTCTTTTCGTAAATCTACTATGATTTTTCGAAGCGCAATTGGAATTTCGCAATTTTTAGCTCTTATTTGGCTTTTATTTATTTATTTATTTCATTAAATGTAAGTGAATGAAGAAATTAAAAGACAACTGAAAAAATACTATGTGTAGGGAGACTTTTTTAACCGAATGTATTTTAATTCAGCATCGCGAGGTGTAAGGCGGGCGGTATGGACGCGTTCGTGACCTCCGGAGAAGATAGGACCGTGCGTTACTGGCAAAACGGAGAAAATACTCAGACCATTACTTTACCGGCGCAGTCGGTGTGGACCGTACAATGTCTGCCCAACGGGGACATCGTCTCGGGTTCGAGGTAGGCATCCGAAACGAAATAAAACCAATCGACCATCCCACAGTGGTCCCGTCTTTCTTCTTCTCGCGCAAATGGGATATTTTAAATATGGGATTTATGTGCTTATTTCAACTTTTCCAAAACAAAACTTTAATATAAATAAAAAAAACGATTTATTTTTAAAAAGTGAAATTTTATTAACAGCAGGAAACATACCTTCAAAAAAAAATCACATTATTTTAATCAAACACATAAAAATGAAAACTAAACTAATATAGTACAATTAAGTCTAAAGAATCATTATAAATTGTTCCTCATCATGGCTATGCCTATAGCTCCGAATTGAAATTAAATAGAATTTATAATTTTATAATGAGTTTTGTAATAAAACTGAAAGACCTATTACAAATAATCAGTTATGGCTGTTAATTTCAAAAGTAAATTTAACTATAAAAAGTCTTTTACACCATCAAAAAGAGGGGTACGGCTACGGCAAGTAGGTAAAACCATGGATAGTTTTTTACGTCTTTTGCTGTTTCTAAAGCGTAATTCTGATATTTTATAGAATTAATTTTATGGCCAGAGCCCAAAGACCATCTGAAACTTCAAAACTTGTAAAAAATCTTCTCGCAGTATCACCATCGTTTGATGTCTCACTTCCTCCACACGGTTTATCTGTAGTTAAGCCCACCTTTTCCCTAAAATCTTTTTGAATCCGCGATTTTCTCTCTGCAACAAGAATTTTATACACAGTGACATTGTAGTCTTTTTATATAAACAAAAACCATGATATAAATATTTTTTTTTTAACAAAAGGTTACGTTGATATTGTTATTGGAAAATACGTGCATTTAAAGCTAACCATGAAGGGATAAGAAGAACTGTTTTTGACACATTCGGCGACATCGCATCTTACTCGGTTTTAAAGTAGAGGTTCCAAGCATTTCATAACTTGCGAGTTATCGAGACGTAAAGCATTTGAAAGTTTACATGTATTAACGTTTAAAAAAAAACTAAGAAAGGGGCAATGATGTCATTAATAATTCTAAATATTAAAAATACATACCTTGAACAGCAATATCCATTATGGCATCACTTGTTTTCGCAGTTTTTAGTGCGAAACTATATAAATGTAGGTAGTAACACACACACCAAAAAGTTCACTGACCTCCACTGACAGTTTGACCAAGTTCTCACTTTGACGAAGGAAATCTTAGTGAGGGACCAATTAATACCGGGTTTTCTTTTATAATAATGATAATTGGACATTTCTCAAAAACTTAACGAGTTTTTAGGGCAAAATAAAATTAGGGCGGGACCACAGTGCATCCTCTGAGATCTGGTTTCACAAAACTATAAGAATTCAAATCAAGTCCGAAATCGATGTTTCAAAAATTATTATTTCTGAAATATCACACGTGTTTCGTCTACACGGGCATCATCAGACCTATAAAAACAATTTTTTCAAATAATAAAAAATGAAATAAATATTGCTATTAAGAAGTAAAAACTATAAAAATCTAACAAAACCCAAAAAACACCCTTGTTATAAAAAATTAATTAAATTAAATGTTTAGCTGATTTCTAATTTCTCCAGAAGATCAAATTTTCTGTTTTTTGGGCACTCATGTAAAATAGTGACATTTTTATTTGGAAAAAAGTTATGTCCCGTGGCCAAAAGATGGGTAGCAAAAGCAAGAACCCATTGCTAGTCCTGTGGTTTGTCTAAAAAATGTATTATCGAACTTGAAGAACATTTGTTCTTACTCAGTCGTCAACAGAAGAACTAGACCATCGATGACAACTTTTGGTAAATTGGAAATAAATTTTTTTCATCAAGAGAAATCAGCCTCAAGATATCTTTGTCAGAAATGTTGGTATGATATTCTCATCCTTCATTATTGTAAGAAAAATTGCTCATGGAAATTTGCGTCAAAACGATTTGATGGTGAGTGTCTTTCGAGAAAATAAAAAGGTTTATGGAAAAAATATTTAAAATATGTTTATGTAATATTATTATGGAACATGCGTTAAAAATGACGTTAGTTTGGGCTGTTTAAACCTTTTTTTTAGGTTGATTTCTACAATCTTTTATCTTAAATCATGCAATACACTCAAGCTGTCATATTCGTTATACCGTTTACATTCAACCTGTAATATACAAAATTCAAAATTAACGTAAACATACAATACAGTCGAACCTTTGTAACTCTCTGTATCTCGACTCATTTTAGGGGAACTTAAAACATTAACAATAATTGATGAAAAAAACGGAGATTTTAAAAAAGTAGATAATGGTATCCAAGGATAGAATTATTTGTCAACCATATGACATGAAATGACATAAAAAAATTATTATATTTAAAGTACGTATGTATTTTTTCTTTAACTCAAACTCTCTATGTATAACTCGAGTTTTTTTCACAGTTCCTTCAAGTTCGAGTTATAGAGGCTTGACTTCGTTTTTGTAATTTTACTTACATTTGGATTAATATTTTGTAAGAGGTCTATAACGCTTTGGTTAGCAATGTGTGTTTGATCATTGAATAATCATACTCTTAAAACATACTCTGCATTATCCAAGTTGATTGATAAAATATTTCGCCAACATTTCTTTATAACACCACCTGAACTTACTATCCATGCAGTCTTAGAATTTCTGTAACTAACTATGTGTTTGTGGCATTTGTACATACCAAAAATGTTATCTGTGGTTTAGAAATTTTTCTGCCCCGTGCAGTTCTCTCTGTCTCTGATATATAAGTCTAGCTGGCTAACAACTACCAATAAAGGCCTGTTTCATCGGCATTTTCAACCTCTTTAGCCAATCATTGCTAGCATTAAATGAAGAATGAAGAAAACCCTCGCCTTTTCCCGAAGCATCAGCCCGCTCACCAGTATATTTCTTTCTATCAAGTTTAGGAAATATTTGTATAAATCTCTTCCCACGTTAGAATAGCTAGACGCTTTTCTTTTTTATTGCACATACGATTGACTTGGCTATTCCATATTTTTTACTGAGGGATTTTAGCAGTTCACCTTTTTGTTTTAAATTCAAACGCTTCCTTTTTTGCGATATCTTTGCTCCGCACTGAACCCGACAGCATGTAAAATACACACAAATAATAATCGACACGCAAAATCGCTGTCCACTGTATTTCGAAACACAATGATACCATTTGTGTGTTCACTCTATGGGGTAGGTCACTCGAAGCGAAGAGGTCATGTTTCACAAAATTATAAGGATTCGCTTAAAAAGGAATTAAAATCGCTTCTATTGGTCTGATGATGCCCGTGTGCTTAACACGCTTAACATTTTAGACATAATAATTAATTTTGAGACAGGAACTGGCTTTAATTGAGTCCTAATAGTTTCATCCGAAATGAAGGGAAAAAAGTGACTTACCGTTTGTCGTAGTGACGGTGTGGTTAGAATATTCACTAAAGACGAATCGAGGTACGCGGACGAGCATACCCTGACAAAATTTAACGAGGACGTGACGGCGTTGGAACAGCAGAGCGTGCAAGAGATAGGAGGGGTTAAAGTGTCCGAGTATGCTTAAAAAAGGAAGAATTTCGGTCGGTTTTAGTATTGCCGGGTGTTTTAGCTTGCCCGGAAAGGAAGCTTTGTACGACCCAGGCAAACGGGAGGGTCAGATGAAAATGATAAGGGAGGACGGTAAGATCGTAGCCTACACGTGGAACTTGGACGGGAACGAAAGTTGTTGGGTGAAAGTGGGCGACGTTATGGGCGGGACCGATAAGGATGCCGCCGGAAGGACACTCTTCGAGGGAAAGGTACCCGACGTTTTTTAATGTCAGAAAGTGAAAACATGTAAATTCGCAATGACTGAAATCATTAAACGAGGTCCACAACTTAAAAGTATACGGTAAAGTTCGGATAAATTGCAGTGATTATAATTATAGATATTATTTTATAAAAACTTGTCATCGTAATCGATTATTTCAGGAATTATTTAAAAAAATAAAAAATCTCGGTTAATATTAACTTTTGTACTAACGTAAGTTTCGTTAAATGTTATTATTTTTATCTAAAGAATCTCCTGTCATGTACCATTACTTATGGGACATCCTGTATAATGAATACCTAGATATACAGTGTCAGACGCAGTATTTTATGTCCTTGAACATTTCGCAGCAAAGCAATACGAAGTGTACCAAAAACTGGTTACTTTTTGACAAGTTTGATCGATGAGTGTTAACACCGAGTAATTATCAACATATGAACAATATTGTCACACCACTGCGTTAAAATAAACATAAAAGTTCCAGTGGTGGAAAGCCTCAGATGGAGGCTCACCACGTACCTTCAACTGTATTAATAATCTTAATCTATCAGAAGTGGGATTGACCATCTGTTTTGATTAACCGCGTTGATTGATTTTTAATTGAAGCAATTTGTACAAATACGGCCCAAAAAAAAAATGTATATGCTTATGAAGATAAATACATGGAAACCTTGCCAACAGTGTTGTCGGAGTTTTTAGATAATTTATTATTGTATTTGGCAGTATGAATTTGGTATCAATCGAATGCGGTGCTAACCCATTGCGCCAATCACGATTCTGGCGAATTAAATAATATGTTTAATGATAGATGGATTAGACGCCGAGGCCGATGCATTTGGCCACCTAAATCACCCGATCCTCAATCCCCTGGATTTGTTTCTATCGGGTCACATTAGAAATTTAACTTACAATAACCGCGAATAACTGTTAAATAAGGTCCATCTAGCTTTTAACACTCTACAACTAGAACAAGTTAGAGCTACAACATTTCATAATGACGAAAATACAATAAATAATAATTATTGCAATAATTGTAACAATTGCGTTCAATTTTGCATATGTATGTATTTTGTTTTAATGTTCCATAATAATTATGACATACTAAACTACTTTCAATCTCAACGGTTATTCTCTGAATATTCAGGGTAAAGACTTTTATATCTAAAAAATGGCTGGAAATAGGCATAGATAGGATGATGTTCATATTTTTTATTCGTAATTGAATTTCGAACTTATTAAAGTGAAAAATTACAGGGTGTACCATGTGAAAAAAAAGTTGTCATTAATCAAACTTTTAAAAAGTAATAATTTTTTTTGTACACTCTATGTAGTTTTAGGAACCGTTATGGACGACTCCCTGGTCAAAGTTATTCCTGCTTCTTAGTTATTTACATGATATTGAGCAATGTCATTTAAAGCTTAACTCACTAACACTGTTTAGCATTGATTTCGATGATAATTTCTTGTTTACCCCAAGATGAAGTTCGAATCTTTTCTATGCGTCCCTTGCATCACCACTGAAAGGTTAATAAACCTCTTGAAAAACCCTCTGCGCTTCCTGAAGGCCCTTTAATGCCTATTGACAGGCCTTCCATGAAAACTAATTCTGAGTTTGAACACTAAGGCACAGATAGCTCAATTGCATACCCATCCATCTGCCACTCTCGAGACCCTTGACAATCATCATAGGCCGAATAGTAAAGTTCAAAGATGATTTATAATCCTCTCGAATTAAGAAACGAGTGTCGAATTGTATTCTATCGTAGGCCTACGATTTCGTGTTTTCCGTGGACGTCGAAGACGGGAAGCCGCCCCTTAAATTGCCCTACAACAGAGGCGACGACGTGTACAAGGTAGCGCAGGAATTCCTGACCAGGAACTTCCTGCCGTCCAGCTATTTGGAACAGGTCGTCGATTTTATCCTGAAAAACAGCAAGGAGCAATACGTTTCGCCGGCGAGCGACCCGTTCACAGGTGGCAGCAGGTACACGCCTGCCGCGACCAGCTCCGCCCCCCTCGTAGGCACTAACGTGGATCCTTTAACGGGTATGTATCGCAGTATCGTAAGTCATTTCGGATGTCTTAGTTTTGACGTTTGTCGCTAGGTGGGAGCAGTTACTCGACTAGCGCGCCGAAACCGACGGCCAATAGCGTCGCTTCCTCGGCCGGTAACGCGGATCCCTTTACCGGCGGCTCTAGTTATACAACGGCCGCTTTTCAGGTGCGCCGACTTTATTTTGACATTTCGACGAGCGATTTTAATTTATACCTAATACATTCGAAAATCTGAAGCGAATATGACGAAATACTCTTTACGACCTTTACAGGTTACTACTAAAATAAAATTTGACTAATTTAATCTGCAATCTGCAACCTTGCATAAAAAAATGTCATTCACACAATATATTCAATTAGAATGATAATAATAATAAGTTTATTTATCAATCAATACAAGCTACAATATTACGACTACAATATAACGCTATTCATACTAATTCCCGTAAATACATAACCAAAAAAATAAACGTTAAAAAAAAAAAAAATAAAACAAAAGATTATTTAGTAGAAGTGGGAGTAAAATAATTACGATTATTTGATAAATGGACTAAAATAACACCAAAGAAATACTTCTTGTGCGTGAGAATTAAACTTATAGGTTTTATATAATTATGGAAAGTAAAAAGTGTTAATGAAATATAACGAATACCTACCTAAATTATACATGTAATTAAATATGTAAAAATCAATACAAATTGGAAAAGTCAAAAGGGTAATGAAAAATCGAACGGTAACAAATTGAACGAAAACTAAAAATTGTATTGAATTTATTATGCATTGGTTTGTCACGATCAGGTACAGTTTAGTCTAGTTCTGGATACGTTTTCTTGGTTATGTGTTTTCATCATTGTTGGGGATACTTTCATTCATTCGAGAATTTATTTTTTTTTTAAGCTAGCCATATTTTTTCATTAGCAGTGAATGAATTCTCGATCTCTCTTGACTTAGAGCAGCCATTTGTTTAATCGAGATTTAAACAAAGTTAAAGAATTTATATATGATTGATATGATGAATTATATATGATAATGAAGGTATATTTCTTTGGCGTCCTACGATTTAAAATTAGCGCTGATGGCTGAGAATCGTGAGAGCTGTTTTGTGGAAAGATTGAAACAGATTTACACAAAGAATCAATTACATTGCTTGGAATTACTATTTACAAATCTTCTGGATTGCTGACGCTTCGCCAATCATCCTGTTGACTTCTTCAGAGCTTAATTGAAACTGACTCGCATCCTAATCCGGTTGTTTGAGGAAGGCGGAGATAAAGAGGGGCATGAACATTGTCTCGGATGACTGATTGCCATATTGATGAAAGTGAAAGACTTGAATTGCGGTGAAGATTGTTTGGTTGCTTATAGATTTTTATAGATTTTTGGATTTTTCGTTGGTAGAACTGATAACATGTAAGAACCATATTTGATATCCGGTTTCATGATTGTGTTTGGCAACTGCCGAGGAGTTTGTCGTAATCTTAAAGCACTTTCATGTTCTGCGAACTCCAGTTCAGATAAGTTTACGAGTCTGTAAACAAGATTTTTAGGCAGGATGGTGGCTGAATGGCTGAATCGTAAAACTGAGTCACTGAACCCAGAATTGAAATACCTTACATTTTCTCTTTTCTCTAATAATTTCCACATCACAAAATACATTTCACCACAACTTTCCAAAGGCATTGAGTCCGAAGGCCACACTTGCCACTGTTGTCCTTCCTTACCTTCAAAACATCACTGACCACATATAAAAAGTTCTTAAGAAATAGAACGTCAAACGTCAACGTCACTAAAATTCTGTTTTGAGTAAAGAATATATTGTAACGAGTCTTAAGACTACGACAAATAGACTCATCAGCAGTTGCTAAATGCAAACATAAAACCGGACATCCAATCTTATTCGACAATACTAAAATTCTTGCATGTAAGCAATTCTTCTACCAACTAATAATCCTAGAATCTATAGAAATCTATAAGCAACCAAGACAATGTTCATACCCCTCCTTTGGTTCCGACCCCCTGAGACAATATATTGGGTGTGATAGTGATGGTGACAATGAATTAAGGTATCAGCCTGTGTGAATAGGTTTTTTGTAAACAGAATGACCCAATGCTAGGTCGGATTTTTATTGATGTATAGAACTTTAAGTTGGCATTACTGTTAAAGATGGCTGATTTAACAGCTGTCAAGTGATTTATTCTCAGTTTGGTTTGGCAATTCATCATGAATAGACTTACGCCTGAACAACGCTTGCAACGAGATTTTTTTGGATTTGGAGCGAAGCTAATCCTCAAGTGTTTGTCGAAACGCCGTTACATCCAGAAAAACTGACTGTTTGGTGAGCTTTATGGGCTGGTGGAATCATGATTACTAAGTCTTTCATTCCTGAATTGAATAACCATGACGTCCAGGAGATGTGGTTTGAATAAGACGGCGCAACATGTCACACAGCTCGTGCCTCAATCGATTTATTAAAAGACACGTTTGGTGACGGCCTAATTTCACGTTTTGGACCTATGAATTGGCCTCCAAGATCTTGTGATTTAACACCGCTAGACTACTTTCTGTGGGGCTATGTAAAGTCATTGGTCTATGGGGATAAGCCACAAACGCTTGACCATTTGGAAGACAACATTCGCCGTGTTATTGCCAATATACGGCCACAAATGTTGGAAAAAGTCTTCGAAAATTGGAGGTCCAGATTGGACTACATCCGCGCCAGCCGTGGCGGTCATATGCCAGAAATCATATTTAAAATGCAATGCCACAAGATTATCTTTCGGATAAATAAAATTCATGCCAATCGAATAATCCATCGTTGTTTTATTGCAACTTAAAGTTCTATACATCCAAAAAAAACACCGATGCGAGCCAGTTTCAATTATGCTCTGAAACGTTAGCAAGTCTGATCTATAACTAACCGATGCTGAAGGAACCGGAAGATTTGTATTTGTATTGGTATTACAGTAGCTTCTTTGAAAAATTGTCTGGCACTGATTCGGACGATAATTTCACGTTTCCTCTGGCACCCGAATTTGTTATATTTTTGTCTCGCCACATTTTTAGTACTAACTATGGTACTGCTGTATACTTCTCAAGTATTTCCATCGCTAGAAAACAATTTCATCTCTTTCCAGTAAAAGTGCTTTAAAGTCGACGTTATTTATATTCGGTTTAGGGCAGCAACGGCTCCACGTATTTCCCCGTGTCATCCTACAGAACTTTCGACGCCGGCGACCCTAACGTCGTACTCAATAAATTGAAAGAATTCAATGCCAAGCTGAGCGGACGTGGTTTGGCCGTTTCTGATGCCGACTTGGAGGCTTTATCGAGGTTATGTACCGTCCCTACGAGCGACGTCTCGACGGTGGACGTTTTGTTTCGATTGTTGAACTGGCCGGAAGGTAATGACACGATTTGTTTCGGGTTCTCGGTATTTTGGAAAACTCGTCAGCGGTTTTTGCGCTGCACCTTTAAAAGTTGAGATTTATCCGTTTTTCATGTCAAAAGTGATGGGTTTTATACATTTTCTTTAGATTTTAGACAGGGATTTACCCGTTTTCAACATTAAATGTCGGTACATTTTTCGACAGTTTTCACGCTTCTCTCCCTAAAAGTCTCCAATTGTCTCCGATATGAAGTGCGGCGTATTTATCCGTATGATGATTATGAAGTTATGGGTTTATTACATTTTATCGCACTCTAAATTAACACTTCCCAATGAAAATTTTGACATGTTGCGCTAAGACAGGGATTTCCGTTTGTCACGTTGACAATGATGGATTTATTACATCTTTTCACACTCTTAATTACCAATTCTCAAAAGCGGCTTTAAGCCATTCAGCATTAAGACACGGATTTTTAGGTTATCAACATTAAAGTCGGGGATATTTATCGCCAGTTTTGACATAAAGTGTTAAAGGATTTTAGGTTTTCACAATAAATAAGTCGCAGATTTATCCGTTTTTCATGTTAAGTTATAAATTTTGTCACATTTTTTCATACTCTAAATTAGCAATCCTCAATCCGGATTTTTAAGTGTTCAGGTTAAGACGTTTTCAATATAAAGTTGGACGTATTTATCCGCTGTTTTCACATAGCATATTAATGATTTTTACGTTATCACATTAAATAAAATAAGTCGAAAAGTCACGTTGAAAGTGAAGGATTTATCACATTTTTCCACACTCCCAATTAACAATTATCAAAGTAGTCTTTTTTGGTATTCGCGCTAAGACAGAGATTTTTACGTTTTCGGGATATTTATCAGTTTCACATTACGGTTAGAAAATATTTTAGTCTTCAAGTCAGAGGTTTTATCTTTTTATATTAAAATTCGGAGAAATATCTGTCGTTTTCACGTCACATGGATTTTTAGGTTTACACAATAAATAAATCAGGGATTTATCCGTTTCACGTTAAGGCTAGAAAATTTTTTAGTCTTCAAGTCAGAGGTTTCGCTATTTACACATTAAAATTCGGTAATATATTCGCAATTTTTACATTACGTATTAAGGATTTTTCGGTTTTCACTATAAAAGAATTCGGTGTTTATCACATTAAAGATTGATGATTTGAGTTTGTTAAACACTAAAATATGGGATTTTTATATTTTCACGTAAACCGATTTCAGCTTTACAAAATGTTTTTATTCATTTTCACATTAAAATTGGAAGATTTATCCTTTGCATATTAGGGATTGGAAATTTTAAAATTTAAAAAAATTGAGTATTTTTATATTGTCACAATAAATAAAAATTACTGAGTGCATGAAATATTAAAAGTTTAAGATTTTTTTCTTTTCAACTTTAAAGTTTAGGACTGTTTCAATTTTCCAAGTTGGATTTATTTCAATTAAAATTCTAAGATTTATCCGCCGTTACCACATTACATATTAGATTTTTCGGTTTTCACGATAAACTAAAGTCACACATTCGGGGATTTATCCGTTGCGTGACAAGAGCTAGATAGTGTTTACTGTTCAAGGTAGAACCGGGTTTAGCGCGGATTTTTCTGTTTTCACGTCAAAAGTTGTAGATTGGCAGTTTTCACATTAAAAGCTGGCGATTTTTTCGTGACATTAACTGAAAGCTATTCGGTTTTCACAAGGATTTCATTTTTTTTTTTACCTTAAGCATCAAGGATTTATAACAAAGTTTCACACGTTTTTTAAATTTCACTTACCACTTAGGTTAGGAGTTTAGGGTCTATTTCCTTTTTGATTAAATTAATAAAAATTTTGTTATTCTCGCAACAAAATTTGTTTGGACCCCCACCCAGCCAGAGAAGTTTAATTTTCCGAATTGCTGAGAACCGTTCACATTTTGGCCTAACCATCACAATAACCATGGTAACATTTTAAGATTTCGTGTTTCCCGTGCTGGACATCGTAAGATTGGCCGTGAGAATCCCGCAAAACAATGAAACCGTAGCGCTCAAGGACGGCGGAGCACTGGGGGACAAAATGAAAAAACTCATAGGGGACAATAAGGTACCGAGCAACACTATAGTGGCTTTAAGGACGGTGTGCAACTTGTGCGCACACCCACCCGGTCAGGATCTGATATTTGCCAACCGTTTCGACATATTAGAACACGTCACTTCGTTGTCACATTTAAACAAAAACGCTCAAATAGCGGCTGCCACTGTTCTGCTCAACCTTACGGTCTTGTGCGTCGCCAGGGCGGACGATATGGGACTTTTTGTCTTGGCCCAAGTCGTTCCCGATATTTTAACGAAATTTACCGAACCCGAAGCCCACTTTAGAGCTTACCTCGCGATCGGTACCTTGGTAAACTGGCCCGGTCCCGAGCTGGAAGAAATCAAGGTCCGGATTAACGAGAGTGAGCAATTTTTAACCACTCTACAGCTGCATGGTTTCGCAGGCGGTAACGATTTGGAGAGAAAGAGGACGGAATGTGTGAAACAACTGCGGGGTTTCCTTTAAAGCTTAAGTTTTTGTCTTTATATTTCAATAAATTTATTTAATCGCTGTCGCCATCTTTCATTTCTATGACCCTACTGAAGTTTTAGGAATTTTATTTAAATACCTAAGGCAGCTACGTATATAAACATCGCTTCTTTCCGTTACGCCTGTGCAAGCAAATCTTTGGACTCAAGTTCTTTGATTTTCTGCGCTCTAACTCTCAGCCGGCGTTCCCTTTCATATTCTTTGGTGCGCAGAACGAAGCTAAAATGTAAAGCGACAACATTAAGGTTGGAACGTTGGTTTCACTTACTCCTCGTTTTCGCATGTGAGATAGACGTGCTTTTCGTGCGAGCACATTACCGCGAAGGGCCACTTGTCTCTAACGCAAGACACATATTTTATTAAATGGTGGGCGCAATAGTCTCGCCGATCGAGTGGCAGTTTGACGGATCGCATTTCTTCCTCGGTTGCTACCATCTCTAAAACAGGAAAAAGCACGTAAGTGTAAGTAGGTTGAGATAAACGGGTCTTTACCTCGCTTCTTTCGGCCCTCAGGAAAGCCCAACGAAGGATCGAATGTGGGCTCATCGAGAGGCCCAGGGGTCACCTCAGGATGGAAGTACAAATCGAACCCGGTCCGAGGTATATTTCCCCAGCTGTTGCCCATTTTTACGAGATTTATTTATAAAATATCAATTCTAAGCCTATAGGTTATGTAATGTTATAAACGATAGAATAAAGAGTGAAAATACAATTTGCTCTCGGCTGGACAAGATTACTGCGGTCATTCGCGCATTTTCCGTCATCCGCCAAGGATTTTCCTTTAGGTCACAGACTAAATCCGTAAAAATAAACATAAACAACATTTGTTCTCAGCTTTCGAAGAAGAACTTCGGCCGCTAAAAAAAACCGACACCCCCGTTTCCACCACGGCCCTTTCGGCCTTTAACTAAATTAAAATTAAAAAATTAAAAATTTTATTTACGCATATAGCATTTACATAATTATTACAATATAGTATAACTTAATAAAAATAGTAAAACCAACACTTACAGTTGCTAAACTACCAAATTTTGATTAAAAACAGACATCTTTACTTTGCGATTAAAACTACTGAGAGAGTCAGAAAATAAATCAATATGCTCGTTATTTGTGACTAAAATATTTGTCAGCTTGCACATTCGATTCATAGGCGAGTGAATGCCATAGTTGGTCCTATGAAAATCAATATTAAAAAGAGCCTTATTTCTTGCATTAATAGGAGAAATATGAAAACCAACAGATGCCAGAAGATCTGGTGAATCCATCAAATTATTAAGGATTTTGTATAATCTAGCGATGTCAAAAAATATGCGTCTACTCTCCAAAGATGTCACATTCAAAAGCTTTATATCTCCTCGTACTTTATATCCTCCAATGACATTCCCAATTTAAAACCTATCTCTTTAAGGAAATTACGCTGCACACGCTCTATTCTTTCCTTGCGAATTGCATAGTATGATTGCCAGACACAGCTAGCATACTTAACCGGCGTGGATGGCAAAAACAACGGGGCTGATAACGATTACACACTTTAAATCTTTTATTTAACGAAACCAACACAATTGGAACCGATATCAATTTTTTTTAGGACGATTGCAAAAGATTCTGTCTGGAGCGAACGGAGGTTAACTCGTTATGTGGAGTACTTAAAACAGCATCAACAATTACCAACTGACCATAATATATACCTTCGTAGAATACCTGTGACCTACAATTTAATTGATTCGTTGTGGTCCGTGGCATTAAGATTAATTTTAGGTATTTTCCAAAATAACACTTCTTAATTGATATTACTGTAACCGTTTTATTTGATTCGTAATAAGTTATAACATGGAAAAGTACAAAGTTGGCCCAATAGTTTTATTTATTGGTGAGTATCTTGCAACAATTACCCTTCAAAATTTATCAAAGTGTTTTGCAGTTATTTCGACGGTCAATTCTCAATCATCCACTACCGAAGTGAGTAAATTGGAAAAATTCTATTATGACAAATGTCTTAAATACTCAGGCGGAGCCGAGGCGTTTGACAAGCTCAGGACAGATGTCTATGAAATGTACGAATTTCTCTTGTATACATTCAAATCGCTACCCAACAACCGAAAAACCTTTTGTTCAGACCACAGATCAAACTTAAAAGTGAGGATTCAAGAGGTATCTAAAGACTTAAGACCTTGTCTTCCTGCAAATGAAAAGTTCTTTGCCGAATTTATTGAGGAGTCTTTCAAAGAGTTCTTGCACTTCTTGTGTCACGATAACGGGGAATATACAAGAAGTATGGACAACTGCAACTGTTTTCTGATATTTGAAAACCCTGCTTTTTAGGATTTTTCAGCGCCGACGGATCCCAATGTAGGACGCAGATTGAAAATTCTAACACGAACGACTTAGAAAATTGCCTAAACAGGATATTCTCGCCGTCCCATAGTTATATAACAAAGAAAGAAATGTGCGAGTAAGTGTTTATATATAGTTTTCAATGGATGCTGTTTGGATTCTGTTTATTTTAGCGATGTCGTGGTGGCAAGGAAATGCTTCGCCAAACTGATTGAGATCCATTGTCCGAGCTCCTTGAATTTCAAGCAGTTGAACGAGATATTTTTTGATTTTGTCGGAAAGCCTTGTGGTAGTTGTCTTCATTATATAAGTGGTTTGATAATGCTAGCTTGCCTGTTGGTCAATGTTTTGACACACAAGATTTACTAAATGAACATTTTTAAAAAACATGTTCCATTCCAGCACCTTTTCAAAGGTTAGTGCCCATTTTATTAATGAAATTTTATTTACAATGAACATACTAGTCATTGTGTAGTGAAAATCGAATTGTTTTGAGTATTATTTGATTTAACTTTAGCATCTTACATTGTAATGTTAGTTTAAATTAGTCCTTATGTTTTATAGTAAATCATTAACAGCCACAAAGGCTTGGCCTGTCCAATTCTAAAGTTAAGTGGTACTTACTCAATTGTTAGATTATTTGATATGCAAATATATAAGCCTGCAAGAGATTTGATGCCTTATATGGTCAATGTATTTTTCATATAACTTAATTATTTTGTTACCATTGAATGAAATATAAAAATTTATATTGTTAATCGCATTATGACTTTTTTAAATGCCTCCCCAAAACCCACGTCACTCGGAATATTCGAATAATATTTCGTAAAGTTATTTAAATCAATAACTGGAAAAAATAAATTTTGGTTAGAATCGCTTATCCATATCGAATTGGTAAACACTTGGATAGTTGCGGATTGGTCAGGTTCGTCGCGATGACGTCACCGCGACTTTGTTTACACAAAAAGTTTCCCCGTATAACCTTCAACTGCCCAGCAAGGCAACCACGGGAAAACCGTAGCGTAGTTTGTCGGGAAAAGCATTCCAGGACTAATAATAGAGTTTCGGTCGGGAAATTTCGCTTCGAACTTGCGGAGAACCGCAGTGGATGCATTTTTTAGTAAATTGCATCATAACAAAGTGTACGTGAAACTGAAAATCGGGAACAAATAATGGCGAAATTGCGGCTTATATTCGGCACGTTTTATTTCATCACGTATTGTAAGTTTAATTCAATAAATTTAATTGTGGTTATAATTAAAAATACTTGTTGCTGTTTCCCACAACGAGCAAATTCGACGTTAAAATAAAAAAGCATGTTAATGGTTAATTACTTCCTGTATTTATTCTGACATAAAAAGGGAATAAAAAAGAGCCTGGCTCCAATTGCCAACGAGAGCAGGTAAAAACTATGGCTTAAAAAGAATAAGGACACTTAGCCACACTTGTGTGCCCAATTTATGTTGGAAAGTAGGAAACTCACATTTTTTCTAACCGTTGTTCGTTAACCGACTATCAGAAATCGGGATGTACTCGAACGGTTGAAACGGAATGAAAAAGTGTGAGTACTGTAAAGAGAAGCGGGAATAAAAAAAAATTCGTTGCAAAAGGTTAAATACATCGATTTTTCGGTTTCCTTCGTGTTTCTCCAGTGAAAAAATCAAAAAACTATTTTTGATTGCTGTGAAATACCATCAGACTTGATATAAGTATTTAAAATGTACTTTAATAAGATACAGGTTAACTGGCGTCTTCCATATTTTCCCGTCCATTTTGAATTGTCGATCCCAAAGATATAAACTACCGGGTCCAATTTGGTTAATTGAAAAATGCGCGATTATTTCAGGCGCCTGTCAGATCCATATACCGGGCGCAAAATACACGACGAACTGCAACTTAACTTCGGAGGCGACCGAAGATTTCGTTACGATTTACAAACTGCTCGTCGTGTTTCTCGCGCGGTTCGACGATTTGCCGGTGTCCTCGGTGGACGGTTTCTGCGCAAAGACCACAGAAACTCTAAACGACGTGTTGGCCAAGTCCCGGAGAGATTGGGAGCCGTGCCTGAAAGACGGCTGGGTGTATTATGGCGACTTCGTGGGCGAAACTCTTCACAATTTCGTCGATTTCTTTTGCGATGACGACGGCGTTAACGGCAAAAGTAAGTGACTGTCGCTGGCGCTCGGAAATATCATTTAAAAAAAGCACTGATGAAGTTTTCAAAAAAATCACAGAAAAATACTGGCGGCAGTTTTCGTTAGTTTCTGAGGGCACCTTTCGTATCTTCTGTGGTTGGTGTTTGTAGGAGCTGGGCAAATAAGCGATGTAGGCTGCAATACGTAACCAAAACTAACCAAAAAATATTTTCGGGCCTAGCTATCGTGCGCTGGAGAAACTTAATTTGCTAAATCTGTCTATCTGACATCATGTAAAGTAGCTGCCAGATTAGGAATTAAGTTACTTCGAAAAAATTTGTAAATATTATGCTCCAGTAAGTTAGATTTTTATCGAAGAAATAAGGTCCAATAATTTTGTTATTCAAAATCCCTGCCCTGTAAATGCTGCGTATGATTTTCACTTATCCGTCGGGGGATTATTTCTACTCGTTGAACTTTATTTATTTACAGTACAGTAGGTGAATGCATGGAAATAATCTGAAAGTGACCCGAATTTTGACGGACTTTGAGTATTTTCAGTAGCTAATATAGCATTTTGTTTGGATAATCACTAGTTATTTTCATTTCATGTATAAATTAAATTGTTTTAGTACTTATTTAATAATTATTGGGAAGTAGCGTAGGGTAGGGTTTTAGGTAGGGTAAAAATGATACTATTGCAATCAAGTTTGTCTTATATGTATTATCTTGAAAGACATATATTAATTAAATATCGTTACACATAAATACATAAAACTAGCGAACAAAACTATTTACTTGTAAAACTTTGTGTTTTACGGCATTCCACCATTTTAAATATACAAAAATCAAAAAATCCATTTACTTAGCTTTATGATTTATTATTTGGGGTTCGGAGATGGGTTCTGGCCGGGGTTCTGGAGATGATTTTTCTGTAGAATTTCACTTGTGGCATTCTGCTTAAATAATAATAGGGTGGGAACAGCAGTTTTTTTTAGAAAAAGGTAAAAGAAATGTATTTCTTACCTTTATTATGTGTAATATTTTGAGCTTACTTCCTAACTAATAACACCGCTAATAAGCATCACGAACACAACACTTTTAAGTCTTTGTTTAAGCTTAAAAATATTGTTTTTCTCAGTTCTTGCCACTCAAGCACATACAATTTTAAAGTATTTGTTAAAGCTTAAAAACACTGTTTTGTACAAGTATTTTTAACAGAAATACAATTAACACAAACATAAGCGTACTACTCACTAGTTTAAATTATTTTAATTGTTCAAAGAACACAAACTACAACGGTTTAATACGCCTTGAAATGCATTGACAGAATACACAAAAACCGTTAGTGGACTTCGCCTACGTCACAAGCGACCACGCGCGATCGATAATTTTGGCGAACGTATGTCTTATGGGATTGGGCAATCCTATTAGATTTACGATTCTTGGGATCTTGTAATGGAGCTTTCTCAGTATTTAATTTTCTTGAAATCCGAATTTGAAATGAGTTTGTTCCATATATTAGCCATTCACTGTATTATTGTCTCTCTGTTTATTAGAATATTCCAATAACCAGTCGAAGGAGTGCCGCGAAAGGATAGTTTTTTCGAGGTTAGAGCAATGTTTACAACCAGTATACTACGACAACCGATTTAATATTCCCGGGCGTAGGGACGAACTATGCAGGTATTTTTTGCACCGATTTTTACACCATTTAAGCACGCGCAGCATTTCAGAAAAGTCGAAATTGTCAAAGACTGCACCGGGTTGCTAATCAAAGAGGAATGTCCATCGTCGCTGGAATACCAGAAGCTCGTCGAGTCGCTGATGGAGAAGATGTACGGCGTTTGTAGCGGCTACAAAAGGTACATGACGACAGCCAGATACGTCGGTGTTATTTTGACCGTGGTCTCTTTAGTCATAATTATTGCGCTGAGATTTTTCCCACTGCGAAGATGGTGGGAAGATTGCAATCGTAGAATGACTGGTACCCTATTAATTAACCACCATTGAGAATTCCTTTGCTCGAAAATGTTTTCCAGTGAAAGTTTCGTCTTGTGGAGTTCCATTCGGAACGTGGATGAAGATGTTTTGTGGGTAATCCCACTAACCAAAATTGTTAGTTGGCGTAACCATAGTTCTTTATAGAATTTTTCGCCCCTTGTTGCCAAATATTCAATTATTATTTCCTCGATGGTCTGCTATACTTGTACGGGGTGAGTCAAAGATAGTTTCCAAAGTTATGAGATAATAAAAATAATAGTAATAAACGTTTTTTATTAATTACATTTTTTTTTCTCCAAAATTACGTTTCATAAATAATCAAAGTGCTACAATGTGGCGAAGTCTAGCTTAAAAGCTATTCCAGTTAACCACTGGCACCAGTTAGAAAAGAAGTAGACGGAATCGTTAATAACAAAATAGAAGGTGATATAAAAAATCATTATTGTACATTATTTTTATTTTTTAATATTTTCATGAATGACTTTGATGACGTAACTGAAACTCGAGAGGGGAAGGGTGACTATAATAAGCGGATGAGTAAAATTTACCAAATGGATGGCTTTTTCATTTTTAACCAACCCAATTCTTTTATTTTTTCTGACAGATAATCGATCGATATTTTGCTGCTGTTCTGAGAGATCTTACAAAAAATTAAAATATTGGAAAAACTATTAGGTTTAGGTATGTATTATTAATAAAAAGCAGTTCAAAGCAAAATGTGAAAATAGGGTGTTCGTTCCATTTAAAAAATGTTTATTTTAAACGTCTCACTTTTTTGGGCCACCCTGTATACTTTAAAGGAATTTTAAATGAACTTAAATCTATCGTTGACTCACCCTGCACATACTTTGTATATTATTGTCAAGTGATACTGTTTTCATGATAATTTCGACGTGCCACCAACTGATGTACCTAAAATATACGCATTGTTTTGGTATACTGTTAAACACAAAACCACCACAAGTTTTTTTGTTATGTTCGGTATTTCTAATTAAATGGAATAAATATGGCAGTTTGGCAACACTGTGCAGTCGAATGGCATTTGGCGAGCACAGTTACAAGTACCCTTTCCAAATACGTCGACTGCAGGGTTATCGTTTTTTGTTACTGTGATTGTAAATTTATTTTTAAAAATTAAAGTATTTTTTTTAAAGTCGACCTGTTATTTTTCCCTTTTTCGGCGTTTTATATAATTTGTAACTTAAAATATGTTTAAAAGTTTAGAATTGCTTGGTATTTTTAATTTATTTTTAAATAGGAATGAAAAGCTTTAGGCAAGTGTTTTTTGTTTAACTCACTTTCAGCTGTAAATAACACACATACATATCTGTGGCATAATAATTAATGGGCAAATATGTAGGGGCAGTATTTAAGGAGTAGTTCCGGGACAAAAAAACTTTGCATTTTGACGACAAGCACTACTAAAAATAATATCAATAGTTTTAAGACCTTGCTGGTCTGTAATAAACACCAAATTAAGTTGGCTGCTTACAGGGTGTTTCAAAATAAACGTTTCCTACACTTATTAACTTTCTAAGTAAGTTCAATATTCTATTTGAGGCTCAGTTCGGTTTCCAAAAAGGTAATTCCTCAGACAATGCTATCATAAACAGAGTAAACTTTATCATCCAGAAGCTCAATGAAAAGCATAAAGTTACAGACGTATGCAGAGAGTGAAATAGTTCATTGAAGGTATTGGGCAAGATGATATTGCTCTTGACAGTGAGGAAGAAAATGGTTCTACTCAGCAGAGTAAAGTAGAACAAAAACCTATCTAAGGAAACTGAGAAATTTTGTAAATAGAGAGGCACTGCTATACTTTTATTATGGACGAGTTAACGCTACACTTTCTTATGGTATTGTTCCTTGGGGTGACAATTAGGTAGTGATTGCCCAAAAACGAATCATAACAACAATAACATTTGAAAAGAGTAGTTGTTCCTGTAGCGAACTCTTCATTGAGCTAACTGTGATTTCATGATATTGCTCTTGCCAGTGAGAGAGGCGGAGCTTTGAATTTGACTTAAACAGAGTCAGTTCTTTTCTCTTAGAGACAACCAGAGTTTCTAAAACCTCAGCAGAGTAAAGTAGAGAAAACCTATCTAAGGAAACTGAGAAATTCTGTAAATAGAGATGCACTGCTATGCTTTTAAAGAGTACTTGTTTCTGTAGCGACCTCTTCATGGAGCTAACTGTGATTTCACGATATTGATCTTGCCAGTGAGAGAGGCAGAGCTTTGAATTTGACTTAAACAGAGTCAGTATGGGTTGTTGCCAGACCCTAGTAGACTTATTACCAATAAAAGCAGATTTAAAAACTCCAAAATGTCCAATTGAAGGAAATTCTATATTTTATGTTTTGTCTTATGTATTGTTTCCGTATTGTATTTATTTTATATAGTATAAAGTATACCAAAATATTGCAATATGGTGTTTTGACTAACCTATTTGCATATCATTTGACTACGTGTTTATTAAAACAAATCATATTGCATTTAATTTTTTAGAAAAATTTTCAATTTCTTTCTTATTGCAACAAAAGGCAAAAAACGCATTATATATATCATATTTTTCTTTTTTTAAATACCTAACGCCCTGCATAACCGAGTGTATTTAGCTCCCAGTATAATTGACCAGCCCACCGGCAGTTGGTCGTTTCCTATTACACGGTCTAACGATTGGGGCAAGGTGTCCCAAATTTCTTATTTTAATGGGCACGTAATGGGCCGTCGCTCTGACATGCGAGAATTTTCGTTTTTTGATTTGCATAGTTGGTGGTTTTACGAGGGTGCGGATGACCAATATCCCTAGCTTTTAGAAGAGCTTTTAGGGATATCGTTTTAGGATGAGCTTTGCCAGGTTGAACTATTAAAGAAGCTTTTAGAGATATTGTTTTTATAAATATTCCTGACTTGATTTGACAAGAAAGGATCGGGGGGATTATCGATCGATCGATATATTATATATATATATATATATATATATATATATATATATATATATATATATATATATATATATATATATATATATATATATATATATATAAGGAAAAAAAAGCAGTCTCTTCAATTTCGCTGTATAGATTTTCGACTGTATAATAATAACATTTTAACATTTTATTACAAAAACAAACACTCAATATAATTTTTAGGTAATTAAATGATCTTGACCTAATTTGAATTTGTTTAATCTATATAAATTACTCTTTGGAAATTTGTTTTCTCAAAAAACGACAAATATATAAAGATTCGAAACTTTTTTAGTCAATAAAACAAAAAACGAGTTAGACCAAAAAAATGTGGGCAATAAAAAAACTCAAATTTTAATTTTAAAACCTCCGTAAAAACGAAAAAAAATATTTTTTCATTCTAAAAATCGCTTTTTAAGAGGGGCAGTTCTTTTTGAAACCTCCATATTTAGCGCAGGGAAGACATATTTGTTTGAACGAATTGTGGCGGTGGTGCGGGCGATCCATGGCCGCTACTACCATTTTAAAATCACTCTTCCCGGGATTGGATCGGCAAGCACCACCTGCCCCGAGTCGACGGGGTACTTGGACGCGAATTGTACCGATCAGTACCGCCCGACGAGCCAGATTTAAGTACCTTTAACTTCGACCGCAAACACTTTTCGTTTTAAATCGCGACGCGGCTTTTAAATCGACTTGCGGTTTATCGAAAAACGCGAATCTTTCGTCGCGAAATCAGAGGGTAAGTCGAAAACAGTTTTTGTATTAAAAAAAAAATAAAAAAGTGTACGCAAAGAAGCATTATTCAAATTTTACGGTTACATACATGTCCTTGCGTCTTAAAAACGCGCCACTTAAAAAAAGGTTTTTATTAGAAGAAAAGTCGACCTGAATTAGCTGTAGTTAGCATTTTATTTGCATCAAAAATAATAAAATTCGAATACAATTTAAAAGATTTTTCTAGTGAAATAACAAACAATGGCTATATCGTAAATTTTCGTATCATGTCAGTTTCTAGGCATGTTTTCTTATTAAGTTTTTGAAATGCATTCATGTGTTCTGTGATGATAATTTCACAATGAGAAAAAACAGCTTTTGCACGTAAAGCAATATTTCACAACAATTAAATTTTTCAATACTTCATCAATGCGCTTAGTACCATTATCCTGTAGAATATAAATTACATTTTTAATGCCAGTTTCATCGAGGATTAAAGCTATAAAATGTGCCATGACATGCCTATGGAATTCATTTGATTTTGTTTCTAATTTGTGAGGTTATATTTTTGACAATAATTTTTTATGCGTAACATTTGTTTCATATACAGGCTGGCAGCAATTGATGAAATGGAAATGATATTGGGTCTGAGTAAAATGTCGCTCATTTGAGAGATACAGGGTGTTACAGTACAATATAAAGTATAAAGTTGATTACATTTTCCGAAAATACATTTTTTTTCCACAAAACCTCTTTAAAAAAAAACCTTTGACAGTCTATATATACCGGGTGTCCAAATAGTGCGTCAAAGTAATATATCGCATTTATTATTTGTTTTACATCAAAAAAGTGTTAAATACAAAATTTATGGACAAAACTAAAAGAAATAATTTACAATTTACATATATTTTTAAATGGATGACTCTGTACATCCAATTCAGGGTTGTTAATTGATATTTTTCATTCAGACTCACCCTGTATAAACGATTCAAATTACTACAAGGCAAGTATGGGATAAATGACATAAAATTGTTGGCATGATAAAATTGCAACTGCCGAGAACAGCGTCCAAAAAACACAGGGCACTAAACCCAGGACATTTTTTACAAAGAAATGGCCATAAATCCGAAAACACTCAGTATAGATCACAACAAATGGTATTGTTCCTTTCGTATTTAACATTTTTCCCTGAAACGAATATTAAACTTTGACAAACTACTTGGACACCCTGTATATATATTATACTAGGTCTACTAACCATGGAAAACCATGGAAAACTCGAAAATGACACATAACCTATACATAACCTTAAAAGGGAACTACCATTGTTTTTATTCTGTGCCACAAAAGCATCGGGCTTTGAAAAAAATATTTAAGATATATACAAAAAATCAACTCTTTGATAATTAAATAATGTCTCTGCAATTATATTTTGAGGTTATCGGAGAAGCCTAACAAAACCTAAAACTTCTAAAGACAGTTCAGCAATTTGAAAATGTACCCTTTGAAAATACTGTGCGTATTATAAAAAAATGTTTTCTGAGAAAACGGAAAGTTAACTACTAAGTTGTGTATAAACCAGCTGGGTAGTACACAAACTATCGAAGTGTCTGGCTATTTTATATGAAAATCTCTACGAATATTAATTGGTTTGCGTACCATCCAGCTAGTTTTGCAAACTATACAAGTGTTACCACCAGAAAATTTTACAAATTAAACGAGGTTCTTATCTAGTTCACAAATAATCCACAGTAAATGGATTATTCTTGCTACTTTTCCCTTGTTTATGTGTTACAAACCGATTTCATCGACAAAATTTGCATTGAACTGTCAAACGAAAAATGACTTATTTAACATAAGACGGATATTTCATGGCCACCTCAAGATTGTAGCGGAGTTTAATGGAAATCACAACGCGTCGCACTACACATTCGCGTTTAATGAAATTTATGTCGAAAAACAAAATAAAACGTTACACACGTGACATAACGATTAAACTTGGCGGACCACATATATGACGACTGACAGTTGTCCAAAAGGTCCGTAACACGACAATTTATGGTCCATGACCGTTACAAGATGAATTATGCCAAAATAATCCAGATTTCAGTGAGATTTGATTTTATTTCAGAACCAACCGATTTAGCTATTCATTTGCTCTTCTGTTGGATACCACCCTAAGCTATGTCCAAAATTTCAATTTTCTACTGGCCTCAGTGTCGTACCAATAAAAATTTAATTTAAACTCTGTTTTGGTCGGGAACATGATGAAAATAATTATATTCTCGAAAATCGCGGGACATAAGTATAGGAATTATTATTCAAAAACAATCGTATCAGCGGATCGGAAAATGCCATAATATACATGGTGTCCCATTTGGAATTTCAACGTTGATGCTACTTTTTGGAATAAGCGGCGTGTATAAAAATATTTTAGAGCGATAGTT